CGGCCCGGGCCACTGCGCCTGATGGGTCCCCGTCGGCCGCACAGGGGTTAAGCTCAGGGTGCCCACCACGTGTGCACAGTCAAATTCCAGGAACGCTTTCCATTAAGGAGCTTGGAGCGACTTCATTTACATTAATAAGAACCAGAAAAGTGTGCGTGTGGGGGGGGTGGGCCGAGCCGCGGTGGCTGCTCAGCTCTGCCTGAGTCTGGAAGAGCCTGAGCAGCCAGGGAGCTGGTCTCAGAGAGGCCCGGCCACGCCAGCGCTGTGGCGCCCAGTCCGAGGGAGGAGGCAGAGTCCACCAGCCCGCGGGGATCCCAGTCCCTCCCAGTCGGAGGGGCTGGCAGAGCCCGCCTTGGTGGGTAAAACCCCACCCAGGGAAATGGCGAGGGCAGAGGCAGGCGCCCTGGGTGTCCACGAGCTGCTGACGGACACTGTCAGCCAGGGCTGGCTGCTGCCCACCTCCGAGCCTCAGTTTACCAGTCTGTGTGGGAGGCTGCTCCCTCTTTCCCCAACAGGGGTGGCTGCAGGCGTTGGAAGGGAAGGTTCTGAGCTGAGCCAACCCACTTCAGACGCACACGCCCTCCCTCAGCCTCCCTCAGCCTCCCTCAGCCTCCCTGCCTCCAGCCCTGACTCTGGACCCTAGAGCTGAGCAGTGGGCCCTGTTCCAGAAGCCGGGAGCCTGGTGGGGGTGGAACCCCCAAGATCCCTCCAGCGAAGGAGGGAGTCCGAGTGACTGCGTGCGTGAGCCTGCGTGTGCCTGCGCCCCGCGGCGCTTCCCCTTCCCGGCTCCCAGCTGGCTTCCTTCCTTCCTTCCTTCCCGAGGCCGCAGGCTGCAGTGCACACAGGTGAGCTCTTAGGGCCCCACCTGCGCTGCCTGTGCGGGTGGGCAGTCGAAGGGTATTCATTCGGGAGCTTGCACAGTTGGCTCACCCATGCGGGTGGGGTGGGGCAGGCAGGGTCTGCAGGCATCTGCGTGTCCTACCCCAACACACACCTTGGTGCTGGGAGACACGCCTGCTGCACGGATGACTTGCAGGCCTGTGCGTGCATGCGTGTGCCTGTGAGTGCAGAGGGCTGCCCCTCGGCCCAGCCAAGGAGTACGGTGCCCCCACGAGTCAGGATCGAGTCCAGCCCTGCCTGTTGGCCCACACATCTTGCAGGGCATCCTGGGCACTGAACCCAGCCTCTGCCCCACCCCAGGGCCAGGTAAAGGGGGGCGGGGGACAATTACAGCCGTGAGTCATTCTCCAACAGCTCTGTCCAGCCGGACTCGGGGTGGGGGGATCTGCCTGGAGCTGGGGCCCGTCCTGAGTGCATCAGCTCCGGGGCCTCAGTGGGTAGGAGAGCCGGCGGGGGTCCTGGTCCCTCCTGCCTCCCCTCTGCCTGCTGCAGCCTGGCCTGCCCATCAGCCTGCGGAATTCTCCGCTACTACTTGCTGTCTTAGGCTGTCTTATCTGGCGGCAGCCGGGGGTGGAGCAGATCCGACTCCCCCAGACCCAGCGGCCCCCACCCTGCGTTATCTTGTCCCTGCAGCCTCCTCCCCCCTCAGCAGCCTCAGACCTTTCCGCTCCTCTTCCCAGCATCCTCTCGGCCTTGCTTTGTCTGCAGTTGTCTTTTTTCCTGCCTCTCCCTGCCTGTCTTCTCTCTCTCCCCAGGGCTTTGGGGTGGGGGGTGGGCCTCCCAAGGCTGAGCTCACTTCATCCTCAACACAGCAGCTGGAGCACGTCTTGCCCAAAGCTGGAGCCAGACCCTGTGCCTGCAGCTAGGGGCCCATCTTCACTCGGTGACTCCCTTCGGCTCCGGGCCAGCTGTGGGGGCGGGGGGACATCTGGGTCAGAACCAGACTCAGCACTTCCCAATCTGGTAGCCTCCAGCAGCTGCTCTTCTCTGAGCCTCAGTTTCCTTTTTAAATCAGATGGCCCGGCTGGCGTGGCTCAGTGGTTGAGCGTCGACATATGAACCAGGAGGTCACGGATGGATTCCTGGTCAGGGCACATGCCCGGGTTGCAGGCTTGATCCTCAGTAGGGAGCGTGCAGGAGGCAGCCGATCCATGATTCTCCCTCATTACTGATGTTTCTATCTCTCTCTCCCTTCTTCTCTGAAATCAATACAAATATATTAAAAAAATAAACCAGATGAAAGTGGTGCAGGGGCTAAGCGGGAAGGGGCTGTGCTCCTGGCTGCACCTCCTGCGGGACCCCCTCCCGTTTCAGGAGGCTGGTGAGAGCGGTGGGCACCCCCGGTCTCCATCGGAGAGCCTGGGAGCTCAGCCCCAACTCGCTGGGCTGTAGAGACAGAGGCTGCGGGCCAGCTGTGGGCCCTGCCAGGGGAGTGAGTCAGTCATCGGGCAGAGGTGAAGGCGTGTGAGGGGCAGAAATGCACTTTATCGACTGGACTGCAGAAGTGGCCTCCCTGTGTCGGAAAGAATTGTTAAGAGGCTGAAGCACTTAATGCGGGCCTGGCTCTGGCTCCGCAACTGAGCAACAACTACCCCTTTCAACCAGGGGGCCCCTGGGGGTAGGAAACCTGTCAGGAACATGCAGGGCCAGCCAGGCTGAGTTCCAGCCAGGTTCCCCTGAATCCCAAAGACCCTGGGACCCTCAGGACCCCAGGACTGGGTGAGAGCCAGCGCCCCACCTGCACCAGCATTGCCCAATAGGTGATGGAGTGCTGCCACCTGGTGGTCACTAGCAGCACAGCCCCCTCCTCTAGGGTCCCGTCTGGGCACTCTCCCCCACCATGCCCCCCCTTGCCTCCCCCCCACGCACACCCCACCTGTCTCTGAGGGTGTTCATCCCTCGGGAACCAGGGTGGCTGGTGGCTGGGCTCCGGGTGCCCTTGAGACCCCCCAGCCAGACTGCGTGCCTGGGGAGCTTAGCTCAGGCCTGGCTGCTCATCTGGGCTTTGAAACTCGTTTGATGCGTGGCCACGGCAGCTGCTCCTGGACGGCCCTCAAAGCGCACTCGCGGCAGCTGTCCCAGTCAAGGGCAGGCTGGGCTTGGAGCCCCTGGGGTTCCCGCTAGTTCAGCAGGAGACCGTCCAGATTCGATTCGGAATCTGGGTTTCCCTGCGCTGCTCTCGCCTCACCTCACCCGTCGGGCGGGGAGGGGCGGGGCACCCCCACCCATCCTGGGCGAGGGGCTGGAGCAGACCCTGATGAGCTGCTGGGGATGGCTGGCCCTTGGCCTCAGGTGCTCAGGGTGTGAGCCACTGCGCACCAGCAGGATCTCCGGAAGATGGTCTCACAGGAGATCTGGGCCAGGTGCAGCCTCAGGAAATGGGGCGTTGGTTCAGGTGCGAGGTGTGGGCCGCAGTCACGGGGCTGGGCATGTTGGTGACAGTGGCTAAGGAGCAGGCGGAGGCAGGAGAGGGGCCTGCGGCCTCCCTGAGGGACAGACACGACCCATGTCCATAGGAAGCCTGTGGCTGAGTCCATGGGGCCTGGAACCGAGAAGGGGCTGTCAGCTCCAGGCGGCGGGGCGGACTGATGCCTCTCCTGGCGTGGAGCCGCCGCTTTGATTCCAGGGCTGCGAGGCCTGGTCCCCTGGGGCTCCCAGGCAGGAGGCTCCCCTGGGCCTTTGCTGGGCACATCCCTGCGCTCATTGGACGGGCCTCCTGGGTGGCTGTCAGGTGTCTAATGAGCTGCTTGACTCACTCAGGTGCAGGGCAGCTCCCCCGTGCTGCTCAAGGGCTCCAGGGGGCTAGACTCTCCCCAGGGCTGACCTGGGAAGATGGGGATCCCTATGTAGGCTGGACCCTCATTTGTGAGGCTCCCAAGCCCCACTCCCTGAAGCCGACTCGGGGCTTCTGCATGTGCCTCCACATCTGCCTAGCAAAGTGGGGCTCAATCCCCCAAGGCACCTGGGAGGTGGGGGGGGGGGTGGGCATCTCCATTCTCAGGACCAGGCCTGCCTGAAACTAGGAAAAGGTGGCCATCCGCTAGCCATGGAGTGGCTTCCGAGCAAGGCCCCCGCCCCCACCTGACCACGTCAAAGGTGGAGCCCAGCACCAGTTCAGCCAGGTCGGCAGCACGGGTGCCCGTCACCATCCCCTTCTGCTCTTGCTGGGAAACGAGGGGGTGGCGCCATTGAGAATGGACACGGCACGGTCCCTGCGCACTGCAGTTTCGTTTTGGCGAAGTGGAGGCTGCGGAGGGAGAGGGCCGCCTCAGCACCTGTACCTCGGAGGGGCCGGCCAGGCGTCACCTGTCGGCCTGCGGCGCTGACACCCGCCCCTGCGCACCTGCAAGAGTCTGAAGCCTGGAGAAGCACAAGTGCGCACTCGCTGGTCTTCAGGGCCCGGATGTGGGAACGCTAACTCAGTTGACCGCATTTCCATGAAGTTTTAAAACTTAGAACCTGAACCTGAGCCTGAGGACACTGTGAAGTATGCGGTCGTCTAACCACTGTGCTGTACACTTGGAATAAATACTGAATGTTGGCCGGGCCAGTGTGGCTCGGCTGGGCTCGCAGGTTCGATTCCTAGTCAGGGCACATGCCCAGGCTGCAGGTTCGTTCCTCAGTGAGGCGTGTACAAGAGGCGACTCACTGATGTTTCTTCTATCAATGTTCCATCCTCTCTCCCCTTCTAAATTCAATTTTTAAATACAGTAATATTGGCCCTGGCTGGTTTGGCTCAGTGGCTAGAGCGCTGGCCTGCAGACTGAAGGGTCCCAGGTTTGATTCTGGTCAAGGGCACAAGGCCTGCTTGATCCCCGTGTGGGGCGTGCCGGAGGCAGCCAATCAATGATTCTCTCTCATCATTGATGTTTCTCTTTCTCTCTCCCTCTCCCTTCCTCTCTGAAAACAATAAACGCATTTTTTAAAAGAAGTAAAATATAATACTGAATGTAAACTGTAATGGGGAAAAACATCTGAGCGTGACCAGAGCATGGAAACCAGTATAAAACAGCACCTCTAAGCAACTACGTCATCACCAGGCCCAGCCGGCTGACACGCTTCACCCGCCCCGTCTCCCAGGAATAAAGAGACACAGCCACTCATTTTTCACGGTATTTCTTCTGTAAAGAAGCCAGATTTGGCAACTAGACTGAAAATCTTCCAAAATTCTGTACAAATGTTTAATATACAAATATACACAGGCTTTTGCCAAGAAAAAACACAAGTAACGAGGCGGCTTTGGTGCCGCACACCACCTAGGGCAGCGCCATGCCCCAGGAAAGCGGGGCTGGCGGCCCACACGCAGGCTGCACGTAAAACAGTACGTGACCCTATGTACACGGAAGTATAAAAGACCAGTCCCTCGCCGCTCACAAGCCCTCCGGCAGGAAGGAGGAAGGCGTTCACCCACAACCAGGGGGCTCCGGGGAGCGGGGAACAGCGCAAGGCATGCCCTTGGCGACAGGAGAGGGAGCTGGGCAGTGGCCCATCCGTGCCCTCGGAGCTCCTCATTCTCTCTCCTCTCGGAGTCTCACTCCATCTCCGTGAAGCGGGCAAACATGGCCTTCCGGACAGCGTCTTTGTAGGAATCCGCACCTGACAGTCCGTATGCGCTGCCCTTGGCCCCGAGGCCAGCTCCTTTTAGCCGGACTTGAGCCTGGGGGCAGAAAATTGCTGTCAGCGCTGGCAGGCGATGGGCCGCTCCACGCCTCGTCCAGCCCACTCCCTACCGGGCAGGACCACCCACCAGGCGCCAGAGACAGGACTTAAGCACTGGAGACCTGGAGCCGGTATAGGGTCTGAGGGAATAAGATGGGCCAAGGAGACAGGCAGACTGAGCCGCCCCCACCCCCACGCCCAGTGTCTGCTGAGCAAGCATCGGCGCCGGAAACTAGGCCCTAGGCCCCAAACATGACCGAAGCCGGGAAAGGCCTGGTAATTAAGGGCTCAGACAGCGGCAGGGCGGCCTGGCGCCAGCAAAGCTCCCTGCAGACCCGGCCGGGAAGGTGTGACCTAAGTGGTGGCGCAGGTGGGGAGGGAGCGGTGACTGCGGGGTCTTGTCTAGAAGGCCAGCGGGTGGTGCCCTGATCCTGGGACTGAACCTCAATCTCACCTCCGACCAACTAAAGGATTTCTTCACGTGAACAAAAATCCTACATTTTAATTTGCTTTATGCCTAACCAAAACCACCAGGAAAGAAACAAAAGCACGATACCTTTCAATAACCCAATGGCGGCTACAGGGGTCTGCGTGGTGCTAAGGGTTTGTTTACAACCAAGGACACAGAAATACACAGGCCTCAGGAGAAAACAGGTCTACCCTCAGGACAACACCAAACACCAGACAACGCGAGCATTCCTCCCAACTGCCATCTCAGCAGAGGCGGAGTCAGGGAGGCGCAGGGAGCAGAACCCTTTGTGGAGAGACCGCCGTTTTGTGTCAGGTTGCTGCCCGGGTCCCAGGCCCCGGAGCCCCGCCCCAGGCTCACCTCGATGGGGGCCGTGATGCCTTGACACTTCCTTCCGAGGCCCGAGCCTTCCCGCCAGCCCATGGCCTGCAGCATCTTGTTGCCAATGTTACTGTGGTCGATGCCGTCTTTGGTGGGCTGCTCGTAATTCCTGCCAGCGGCAAACACAGAGTTACTTAAAGGGCTCGAGCCCCCGCGGAGGAGGCGGGACGTGCTCACGACACATACACGGTGCCCGCGTCCAGCTGCTTCTTGCGCTTGGGCTCTGGCGGCTCGGGGATGCCGTACTTCTCCCGTCTCTCAGCGGCGCGGTCCCGGTACTTCATCTGCGCGAGAACAAACACAGCTCGGACACCAGGCTTCAGCCTGCGGCAGCCACACTCCAGGGCCTCACCAGTGGCCTGAGAAACTGCGGGCCCTGTGGAGAGCTACGTCCCCAATGAGCAGGCTTATTATCGGCCACCACGCGTCACAGCCCGCCACGGTCCTGGAAGAGGAGGAGGAGGAGGAGAAAGTGGAGGAGGAGGAGGAGGAGGAGGAGGAGGAGGAGGAGGAGGAGGAGCACAGAGCTATCCTCTCCCCTCGGCACTTGGACAGGCCCACCCCCGGGCCCGAGACCTGGGCAGTCCCTGGGGAGTTGGCACCATAAAGAGTGGGGGAAAAACAGGAAAACAACAAAACAGAAACCAGCCCCTACCTACAGAACCTCCCGATTACTTGTGGCGGGAATTTCAAGTAACTTGCCCATGGGTTCATTTCTTTCTTTTTAAAAATATATATTTTTATTGATTTCAGAGAGGAAGGGAGAGGGAGAGGGAGATAGAAACATCAATGATGAGAGAGAATCATTGATTGGCTGCCTCCTGCACGCCCCCCACTGGGGATCAAGCCCGCAACCCAGGCCTGTGCCCTTGACCGGAATCGAACCTGGGACCCTTCAGTCTGCAGGCCGCCCTCTATCCACTGAGCCAAACCAGCTAGGGCCCACGGGTTCATTTCTAATCTATAGGCTTCCATTCTCCCTGCCCATTGCTGGCTGCACAGGCTTTCTGCTGCCTTCACCTGAGCCCCATCCACTGCTTCCTCCACATCCCCTGCAACCACTCAGGCCCTGCTGCCTCCTGGGCCTAATGTAAGCCTCAGCATCGCCCAGGAAGGCTCTCCGCACTGGGCCAGAGAGAGCCCCTGCTCCTTCCTCAAACCCGGGTCCTTCCCCTGCAAGTACCTGGCATTCAGGACCCGAGAGCAGGCCTCAGGGCACCTCCTGAAGGGACCATGCAGGGCTCGCAAAGCACGTGTGGCCTGGGTCCAGTTTCACGAGCCACAGCGGCCGCTAAGTGTGTGATCACCTTCCCTACCTTCCCCTGGACCTGGAACCAAGTGCTACCAACAGAAGCTCAGGGCAGAGACCTGAGACTCTCTCCAGCGGCACACGCCCCGCTCACCTCTCTCTCCCTCAGCTCCAAGGCTTCCAGCTCCTGCTCGCTCAGCCTGGACCGCCGGTACATGTCCATGTTTTGCTGCAGAAGAGATGTGACACAGGTAAGAATTCAGACCACCCTCAGGTGACACATCCTAACGTCACCCATGTCTGCTGTGTTCTAAACTCAGCGACCCCAGCACGAAAGCAGAGGCAGCGTGCACGAGCCCACACTCCTTCATTCTCACCCCGAGGCCGCCGCAAGCAGGCCCCAGCGCTTCAGGTGCTGATTTTACAAACTGAAGGCGAGACCCCCGCCAGCAAGAAGCTCACAACTCGCTTCGTTGCAGTGGTCCGGAGGGACCCCGCAGTGCCTGCGGTCGCCTGTGACCAGGAACAGCCTCTAAAAGGCAAGCACACCCTGGCTGGTGTGGCTCAGTGGATCGAGCGTCGGCCTGCGGACTGAAGGGTCCTGGGTTCGATTCTGGGCAAGGGCACATGCCCAGGTTGCAGGCTCAGTCCCCAGTAGGGGGCGTGCAGAAGGCAGCCGATCAATGATTCTCTCTTATCACAGATGTTTCTCTCTCTCTCCCGCTTCACAATAAAAAATATATAAAAAAAGGCGATCATGCATGTGAGCATCCACTGCACTTTCACGGCCAAGCCCCCCAGCGCCCAGCTGCCCCCTCCCGCCCCAGAGCTGGGAGAAGCAGGCACCTTGTGCAGGTCTGAGAGCTGCTGGTGCCGGACCAGCGCGTCTCTGTTTGGGAACTGGCGCCGGCAGAGCAGGCAGGCCATCTTCTTCCAGTCGGCCAGCTTCTCCTCCTCACTCTCCAGTCTCTCCACCAGCTCCTCTTCATTGTCACTGTCGCCACTGTAAGCAGCCACCAGACCCCTCTGGGGACAAGAGGAGGAGGGTCGTTGGCAATGTACAATGGGCGGTAGTACAGCTGGTATCTGGAGGCAGTAACGCATCCTCCATGGCTCTGTGCCACACCTTAGAGCAGCGGTCCTCAACCTTCTGGCCCTTTAAATACAGTTCCTCATGTTGTGACCCAACCATAACATTATTTTCGTTGCTACTTCATAACTGCAATGTTGCTACTGTTATGAATCGTAATGTAAATATCTGATATGCAGGATGGTCTTAGGCGACCCCTGTGAAAGGGTCGTTTGACCGCCAAAGGGTCGTGACCCACAGGTTGAGAACCACTGCCTTAGAGTCAATCACACTGCACCACTGCATGGAGCAGCCAGGGCCCGAGTGCTGGGGACAGCCTTCCTGGTACCGACCACGTGGGGCCCAAGGAAAGTTCCCAGATGGCTGTCTTCAGACCACTGACCGCACAGGAAAACCCCAAACACAACAGATCAGAGAAACAGCCCACACGGCCCAGTATCTAGCAAGTAAAAGACGTTTCTTGCTCCGGCTGGTGTTGCTAAATGGTTAGAGCACCAGCCTGCGCTCTGAAGAGTCACAGGTTCAATCCCCAGCCTGGATGTGTGCATGGGAGGCAACCCATCGATGTGAGCCTCATGTCTATGCTTCTCGCCCCCCTCCCCCCCTTTCACTCTCTCTAGAAATCAATGGGGAAATATCCCCGGGTGAGGATCAACAACACACACATTTCCTCTTAGTTCCCTTTCCACACCCCAACTACTAACACATGCAGTAAAACGCAATGAGCTGGGCTCAGGAACTCAGGCCTCCTTCCTGCTCCATCTCGCCTGCTCCCTCGGGGAACACAAAGCCCCGAGCACGAGTCCGTGCAGAAGCCGCCACACACCCGCCCCAGCGACCACCCCGCCTCCCGGGTGAAGCAGGAGCCACAGCAGCCGAGAGCCGGCCTCGCCGCGAGAGAGACACAGACTCGGCCTTTAAACCCTGGCGAGCTCCTTACTTTCAGGGGATTCTCCTCGTCTCCATTCCGCACCAGCTCAGGGATCAGCTGCTGCCTCTCGGCCAAGGCTCCCTGGGAAACGCAGCACGTCATCAGCCTCGTGTCCCGTCAGCCTCGCGTCCGAGGGAGCGCCCGCGGCCCCGCCGCCCCCCCCCCCCCCCCCGCCCCGCAGCCCCGCCGCCCGCCGCCTGCCGCCCTGACCTTCTTCTCGAACAGAGCGAAGCCCGCGTCGGCCGCGGCGCTCTCCCTCCTCTCTTCTTCTCGCGAGGAGCTGACGGGCTGGAAGCTGTTTTTGAAGTTCTCTTTCTGCTTGTTCAGACTCTTGGCCCAGCGCTCCATGTCCTTGGCGATCTAATGTCCAAACCACCACAGAGACATTCAGGCAGACGCTTCGCATGCGCCGCACCGCGGGTCTTATCTCCGCCACATCGCTTAACAAAACCGCTTTTGCTGCTACTTCTAACCACAAACCGCTCCGAGTCACCACATGAAGACTGCTCCACAGCCTGAGGCCCCCAACAAGTCCCAAGTGCACAGGCAACCTGACAGACACCGGCGGTACCACTAACATACTGCCAAACGCTCGCCCTGCCGGGCGGCCCAGCTGCTTAGAGCGCCGTCCCAATATGCTAAGGCTGCGGGTCTGATCCCGGTCAGGGCAGACAGGAAGCAGCCACGAATGCTCAAATAGGCGGCACAACAAATGGATGCCCCCTTCCTCTCTCTAAACATCAACAAATCCAATTAAAGGAAAAAAGGAACCCAGGTGAAGCGGACCGCAATGCCACAGCCAGAACCCCGGACAGCACGCCCGGCGGGAACCGGCCGGCGGCGCCTCACCTGCTGGGCCGTCTTGCTCTTGGGCTTCTCCTTCTTCTCCTTCCCCTCCTTGGCAGGAGGCAGGCCCGCCTGCTGGTGGGAGCTGGACTCGGCGGCCGGCACGTAGGTCTCCTTCTCGCCGTCCCAGTACAGGTACTGCTGCGTCAGGGAGTTGTAGTAGTACTAGAAACAGACACAGTCAGTGCAGACGCTCTGCTGTCCAACAGCTTAAAGAAATAGTTTGTCAAAAGACACATCAAAGTTATTTTTAAAAAAACAAAAACAAACAAAACATGTTGCGGAGATCACACCTCCTGCCCACAGGGGAGCTGCACGCCGTGGTGGGTGAGGACGATGAACCAGCCAGCGAAAGTGTGAAACTTCTTGAGTGAAAGTATAATCTGGTTTCTTCTCAAGAGTCTAGTTCCCATTCATTAACCCGACTCCTTTCCACAGACCGTTGAAACAAACCAAGAGGCCAGAACACATCCCCTGTGACAACCAGCTAACTGCTCTCAAACAGGCACAGCACTCGGACACCGAGGCCACCAAACACAGGGCTGCCAACACCGGCTCGGGGCCCGGAAGGCGGTGGCAGGTGAAGGAACCGGATCCGAAGGCCGTGGGAAGGACGAGTTGCCCAGCGGAGGCGGCACCTCTCTCTCGCTTTGTTCCCTGTCTGTCACTCTACCTGCTCAACAGGGACCCACAGCAGGGCCTGTTATGTCTCTTGCTGGGAAGTGGGTGGGTCAGACACAGGCCACACCTTCTGTGTCCAGCAAGGAGAGCGGCCTGGGAAGGGGCCAGACTTCACGGAGGTGGAGGCAGCCGGCAGACTCAGCCTGCTCGGCGCCCTCAGCCTCACGCCGCTCTGACACACGGGCTCTCAATGCAAGTTCCTGTTAGAAGCACTTCTCTTGTATTCTCTGGCTCCAGCTCCTGATCATCACAGTTTTATTTACGGAGTGTTAAAGATGCTTTCCTCTTTAAAAATCACATACACCACCCAAAATAAAACGCCACTCCACAAACCTGCTAACTTCTCCCCTGAGAACACAGAGAGGCTAAGAAAAGAAGCTGGACACAAGGTCACATCTGAGTCCATTTATCTGAAACGGGAGACTAGAAAAACCCAGAGACAGGAGCAGACAGGTTCCCGGGGCGAGGGACTAGGGAGCGTCTGCGTAACGAGCACAGGGCTTCCTTCCACGGGATGATGGAAATGTTCTGGAATTAGATGGTGGTGATGGTCGACGACAGAGATACACTCTGAGCGCACACACCACCACTGAGCTGTACACTCTAAATGGTTAAAACGGTGGACTTTATCTCAATTAAAAAAAGATGTGGAAAAGACATACAATTGCCAACTTCTATCTGGGTCTTTTTTTTTTTTTTTAAATATATTTTTTGCCGAAACCGGTTTGGCTCAGTGGATAGAGCGTCGGCCTGCGGACTGAAGGGTCCCAGGTTCGATTCCGGTCAAGGGCATGTACCTGGGTTGCGGGCATATCCCCAGTGGGAGATGTGCAGGAAGCAGCTGATCGATGTTTCTCTCTCATCGATGTTTCTAACTCTCTGTCTCTCTCCCTTCCTCTCTGTAAAAAAATCAATAAAATATATTTAAAAAAAAAAAAAAATATTTTTTATTGAGCTCAAAAGGATGGGAGAGAGACAGAGAAACATCAATGATGAGAGAAAATCACTGATCATCTGCCTCCTGCCGCCCCCATTAGGGATCGAGCCTGCAACCCGGGGATGTGCCCTTGACCGAAATCGAACCTGGGACCCTTCAGTCCACAGGCCAACGCTCTATCCACTGAGCAACACCGGCTGGGGCTCTATCTGGGTCTTTACAGAAAGGTTAAGAGCCACCTATAAATGCTACTTGAAAAAGAGTCCATGGTGAGAAGTCAGAACAGCAGTGAGAGAAGGGGGGTCCTGACTGCCAGGGGCAGGGGATCTGCCATGCGCTAGGGCTGCTCCCTCCTCAGTGCTGGTTGGTGTAGGAGTGTAAACATTCAGAGAACCGCACACTTCAGTTCTGTGCATTTTTCTGTATGTATGTTATACCTCAAAACAGTTTTTCTAACCTATAAATTAAAAACTTAAATCCTCGAGCCCTGGCCAGGTGGCTCAGTTGGTTAGAGCATCATCCTCATACCAGTGGTTCTCAACCTGTGGGTCGCGACCCCTTTTGCGGTCGAACGACCCTCTCACAGGGGTCGCCTAAGACCATCCTGCATCTCAGAGATTTACATGACGATTCTTAACAGCAGCAACATGACAGTTATGGAGTAGCAACGAAAATACTTTTATGGCTGGGTCACAACATGAGGAACTGTATTTAAAGGGCCAGAAGGTTGAGAACCACTGCATAAAACAAGGTTGCGGGTTCCATTTCCAGTCGGGGTGGGAGGCAACGGATCGATGTTTTTCTCTTACATCTATCGCCCGCTTCTTGCAAGTGCCCGACCTGGGACTGAACCCGCCCCTTTGGTTACAGGGTGACACTCCAACCGCGTGAGCCACACAGGCCAGGGCTCCATGGCTGTGGAGAAGCTAAAGCGAATCTGGGCCACCTGCTCCGCTGCAGGGGCTATTTCACCTCATGCCTCATCCCGGGACTCAATGACGCTGGGATGTGCTGAGTGGAACCAAGGAGAACAGTGCAGCTACCTGCGAGTTGGGGTCGTAGTACAGCCCTGTGGTGGGATCGTAGTAATAGCCCGAAGACTCATCGTACTGGTAAGTGGACGTGTCCGGCACCGCTGCAAAGGCAAAACCAGCACCGAGTCAGCAGGCAGACACTGCTGCACAGTTCTCGGCCGAGATGCAGCTGTCACCGTCTTCTCTCACATCCCCAAACGTCCCTCCGACACCCACGAAGGGAGAGGAACTCGTCAAACAAAGGCAACAACCAGGACCTTCTAACTGTCAACAGCCCCACGGCCGGCTTACCGTATTTGGTACCAGGAACTACACCAGTCGGGGAAGCGGCAGGGGCCTGGGTACTTGCACTGGTGCTAGGCTGTGCTTCCTCAGTCTGCAAAGAACAGCGGCTCCAATGAGTTCAACTGTACAGTCTCTTAGGGTGCAATCACCACCACCCAGGAGGAAGGGCCACACACACACACACACACACACACACACACACACACACACACACACGATGCTCTAAGGCAGCCCTGGAGCCAGACGCACGTAGCTCCCACTTTCTCGCTGAAGGTCATTAAGTCAAAGCATGCAGAAAGCACAAACACACCTGTTTGGAATGTGACATTTAAAATACACACGCACATTATTTTATTATCTAATAGCAACAGACAGAGAGAAGTAAGGTTGGGGTGTGGTTCCTGCAGCACGAAAGGATGATACTCGGTCAGCAAAACAAAGTCGCCCGACAGGCGCTAGCTGTGTCTGGGAGCAGGCTTACCGGAGAGCTGGGCGGATTCGAGGTCTGATTGTAGAGCTGCGGGCTCTGGGACACCACAGCGGACGAGGTGGTGGTCACGGCTGTGCCTGTGGCAGAAGCCCCGGGGTTAGGGAGAGCCGGCACGGACGGCACTCGGAGCCGAGCATCTGCACCGCGATGCCCAGCCCAGCCTCTGTGTCTGTGTCTGTGTCTGTGAGATCTTAGTGACTCCCACACATGCCCTGACCTACGGCCATTCCGCTTGCACACCCTGCTAGAGTGAGACCCAGCGCAGTCAGCCTGCTGCGGATGCTATAGAGGAGAGACCATCTCTGCTCTGCAGCGGAGGAAAGATCGAGCTTCAAGGCTTTCCTGATTCTGGAACAAAACGTAAGCAGAGGCTTCTAGTAGTGACCCTTCTGATGGATGTCTGGGTACCAGGCTCCAGGTCACCCTCTGTCCCCTGACCCTGCGTGGGCACTCATGCTTCCCGAGGACACAGAGCAGGCAATAGAGGTGAGTCCAAGAATGAACCCTCATTGCGACACGCTCTCTAAGAGGCTGTGATCAGATCTTGGTGACCACGAGCACCCTAATCTTCCCAGCCCCTTGACAACCCTCAACGTGCCCCCCAGCGTGCGGGGAATGGACTCGGAGCTCTGGGTGACGCTGGAACACGTAGGTGCCTCTCCTCAAACAAAAGAGAAAAGGGAGACGAAGTTTCTACCTGATGCAGATGCCGCATCAGATTCCAACCCTCCAGCTTGTTGCTGATAGAACTGTTGGTAGTCCTGCGAGTACTGAAGAGAAGTCCACCATTAAGGCTGCTGTTCTCAGAACCCTCTGGAACCAGAAGTGGGATCGGTCCAAGCTACCACCTACCTGGGTGTACTGCGCATAGCCGTCCTGGCCGGGCTGCAGGTAGCTGTAGTCGACATTGCCTCCTTCGCCACTTTGAGACTAGAAAACACCAAAAGACGACGAACAGACCACCTTAGTGGACACCAGGAAGGGAAACGAGGAAGGATTCCCTAAAACCGTCCGAGAGCTACTAAGGCAGGCACCGTGGAGGAGGGCCATCGTACCTGGGTGGACGACCACTGGGCGGCAGCGATGGCTGTGCTGGCCACAGAGAAGGCGCTGACCCGGTTGCCATCGGGGAGGACCAGGTCTCTAAAACACAACGACCCAACCATGTGACCCCTCAGGATGCTCCAGGCCGTCACCCCACAGGCCACGGACACAGTGATTCCCTCCAGCCTTGGTGGGAGGTCTCCGATGCCAGCAAGGCCACCTTGCAGACGGGGAGGGGTCTCCCTGGGCAAAGTCCTCGGTGGGCAAGTGTCCCTGTTCTACTGCGCACCCGCCACCCAATGAGGCGTCTGCTGGATGAGCAATGACACTAGACACCGGAAACCTACATGCCAGACGGCGCCCATCCTCATGAAGCCTGGCCCGCCAGCCCGGGAGGAAGGGATTCTCTCCAGACAGGTGTGCCCTGGAGCCGGCACAGCACTCACCCCCCGCCCCCCCCGCTCGGCCCGCCTGTGTCCTGTTCTCAAGTCTTCTGGCAACTGGTGACAGAGGCCAGAAGGTACCGAGCTCTGAGGGGAGACAACGGTCTCCCTCTCAGCCTGGGTGACCGGGGAGGGGAGTGGCCCAGCGTGGAGACGAAGCTTACGGGACCGTCAGCAAAGCATCCCGGACAAGCGTGCGCGGACAGCAGTTTGAAACAAGGATGCTGAAGCCACTCACTTTCTGGCACTTTTTGCAAAGTCAACCCCAATAGTCTTGCCATCGATTTTCAAAGGCGGGTGGAGACTCTGTAATATCTGCAGCAGCTGAGAAGCGTCCTGAAGGAGAAGGGGAAGAAATCAACTGTGTCGTGTAACTGGAAACCTCACCCTACCACCCGCCACGTTGGAAAGAACAGAGCTTTCTCTTAAAAAAGAACAGCAGTTCATTGCTGTCTGTGGCTGTGAAACCTGGAGAAAAAAACCACCTCCCTCTCCTCCAGGACAAGGAGGCTCCGTGCCCTTAATGGAGTAAATGCGAAGTCGACCCATGGCAAAGCCCGAAGGACTCACTGGGGCTCAGGCATCGCCCCGCCCGCGTCACACTCCTCCAGCGACCAGCCCGTGACTTAGCACTGCCACACACCACTAGGTAGCCTTGAACTTTGGGCTCACAATTTAGTATCACCACGGGATGAACCCTGTTGCCTCTTGAGGCTGTCTCTTTGCAAAGGAGAGATCCCCGAGCCCCTCACCATGGCGGAAGACAGCTGCACAAACGCGAAGCCCCTGTTCTGCTGCGTCTGCCTGTCTTTGATGAGGCGGATGTTGTTGACGGCCAAGGACGCGTAGGGGGACAGTGCGGTCATGATAGAGTCCACCACCGTGTGTGGGGCGATGTTCCGGAGAATGATTGCTGGGGGCAAAGGAGACACATGACATAAGACACATGACGTGTAAATGCGTCCCACCGCCAGCGCTTTTCAAGGCAGGTTCAAGTACACACACACACGCACATCTATTTGGGGAGGTTCCTAGTGTACCTTTCTTTCTGACACGGAGGAAATTCTAAAAACCAACCTTCTATATATAGGACACGCTGCAGCAGCTGCTGCTGCGCATGACAAAAGGGTCAGAGAACAGAAAAGCCAAGCGCTGACACAGAGGCCAGCAGGTGAGACGGACTTACTGTCACAGTAGTAGTCCACAGACTGAACCGACTCGGTGGTTCCTGAGGGCACTTCCTGCTCCGAGTCTGCAGGAGGAAGGAGGGAGATCAGCAACAGAAGACAAGCCGACAGCACACCAACGCATTTAGTAACGAAATATATTAACACCCCAAAGCCTTAGTGTTAAGTGAAGTTGTTTTCTTTTGTACCCACGTGTGGCTGTAATAAAACCTCGTGAACTCTGACATGGTCGGTGTGAAATGCACAGACCAGGCCCGTGGAGGGTCACCGTGGAGGGCTGACCCGACCCCTGTGCTCAAAGAGCAGGTGCAGAGTGCGCCCCGGCAAGCAGACTTCCTTCTGGGAAGTAAAGGCCCCTCCGTGCCCGCTGTCACCAGCAGCACCTACCGAACCTATGGTACAGGTTTCAGGAAAGTATCCAAGTTACTTGTTTATATGTCCTAAAACCTATACGTTCCCTCAAGTTCACAGACAACCCAGTAGTCAGGTCTTACTGCATATTCCAAACAGCTGAACCCGGGCTTACCAAACTTGTCCGCTCCACATCGGAAGCATTTTAGTCTTTTCCTGAAATTGTTAAGGCAGCACTGGAAAAAAAAAAGTTTCACCTTAATTGCCAGGCTCACTAGGAACCAAGTGGGTCAGAGCGGCAGGGCCAGGGCTCGTCCCAGTCAGTAATGTCAACAGCAGCGCGTAATACCGTGGACCCAAGACACAGGGTGTTACCCTGCACACTCAGATTGCTTTGCTACGGGCATTCCTCTGAGAAAAACACATCTTGGCCTATTTTGCAACAAACTGCATTTTTATCAAGTTGGAGGAAAGTTTCAGTTCATTCAGAAACCTACAAGGAGTCACTGGCGAAGCTCTCCCTCATATCGAAGCGCCGACACGGACCACTCCATGTCCACAGACAACGTAGACAGAGGAGTGGACACGGGCGCAGCCAGGACAGAGTGCGAGCCTCTCAACATGTCGATGCCACACCCAAGTTCAACGTGGTGCCCTGGACCCTGACAGGACTCACGTAACCTGAGCCCTGAGCCGGGTCACAGGACTGTTGTTCATGTCATTGAGGGGCTGCCCAAAGCTGAGAGCTCAGGAATTGAAGAAACTGTAACGTGAAAACACCTAAAACCTTAACTAAAGCACTGGGCTGAGGACCTGGGCTTAGTAAATAAAAACACAAGTGTTCTAGGGATTCTGTCCTCTAACAGGGGGACCCAAAGAACATCACAAAGCACAAAAATCACCCTATGACAAACACTGGTGACCGGCACTTCCGGTCCCTTGTTTGGACGTACACAAACACATGAACGAACACACACACACACACACACACACACACACACACACACACACTAAAACCCCGAAGGAGCCAGGGAACGCGGGAGAACAGCCGTACCTTGTTGCAAAGCCAATCTTCAAACTTGGGCCTGGGGTTGCTGTAATGCATTGCAATGTGCTTTCCTTGAATCACCAACTTTTTCTGTAAAAAAAGAAGTCATTAGTTATTCCCATTGTGGGAAGCGTGTGTCCATTTTCCCAGGGCAGAGCACACTTCGGAAAAATCAGTGCTCTGGAATTAAATGGACAATACGGGGAGGACCAACCACCGCCACCTATACTCTGCCCATCCAATCCTTCCGACAGGCAGCAAGAGAATGGGATGCGGAGTGAAGGTAAACGGAGTCAGGGATGCTGAGAACGCTGCCCAACGCTAACCGCGGACACGCACCAGGCGCGTCGCCAGCAGACAGGAGTCCTAACCTTCGGCAGTGACAGGCTGCCGAGGTGACAGTCTAGTTCAAAAAGCAGAAAACACAACTCTCCCAATTCTGAGTTGTCTCCTACTTAAGCCCTTAGCACGTGTCCTCGGGCTCCGCTTCGCCTGGCCCCGTCCCCCATCCTTAGGCAACTGAGAGCCTTCACATTGCCCTGCCCCCCAACTCCTGCTTCAGGAAGAGCTGCAGGGGAGGGAAACTCGTTCTGAAAGGGAGTCTGTCACAGCTCTTGCTCAGGAGGGACTATGCTGAATGCCATCGAGTCTAAGTCGCTAAGCGAGGCTTCTTTCTGCCGACTGCAGCCTGTAATGCCCTAGGTGACAGGTGTGCTTTTCACTGAAATAGATGGTACTCTCTCTTCAAGATGGGTAACCAGGAGGCCAATGAAGTTTCTTCAGGGGGTAGGAAAGATTCGTAAATGCTTGTACGCCACCTCATCCTTCAAGTCAACCACGTGACTTAGAGGGACTTAATTTGAAAAGTTCAAGACTCCAAGCTGAATCAGTCTAGCCAAGAGCACGCCCAGCACCTGCCCCCAAAGAGTCTTCATTTAACAGGTGCACCTTTTCTTTCTCTTTTTTGGGGGGAGGAGAGGGATGGGGTGACTGAAGCAGGAGGTTAGATATCCAGATTTTTAAAAGGAGTCTAACCCTCTGAACATACATACTGTTGAGCAATTTGATTCTTGCAAATCCTGGAGGATTAAGACATGCTGTGAATGTGGTCTCTGAAAGATCTAAAGGCAAGACCACACGTCTGGCCGAGAGGAAGGCGCCGAGGGGCCACCCACTCCTTGTTGTACAGAAGCAAAAATAAAGAAGCCGGGAGAGATGGCAACAAGTCACCCACTAGGAGAGGTGGGTGCTGGGGAGACTCCAAACTACCACTGAGTCCCTAATCCTATTGGCCTTTGCTTTCTGGAGTGAGTTTGAACTGTAATAAAGCATTACACTAACACAGCTTTGTATACATTAAAATTGTGGAGATTTTAAAAGGTCTTACAGGCTTTTCATCCCTTAGGAGTTTGAAACTCCCAGGCAAGTCCTTAGACACAGCCACTGCAGCAAGCGATGCTGCCACGCCAAGGGAACAGACTCACAGGAGCTGGCGCACCTTCTGAAGGGACAGGGATGGTGTCCCCGTGGGAAACGCATGACGCTCCACTTTTAGAAGATCAGGTGCCACCGCTGGGTTAAGAAAACAAGGCTTAAAAATCTAACCAATCAAAATTAGTGAGTCTAGTTATAAACGGCAATATATTAATAATCAAAGGATAGAATTCTCACTTATGGGTGACAAATCATAAAATGCTGCAGAAAAGCAACAGGCGTTAAGAAAACGTCCCAGAATGCACTTGGTTAAGGCGTCAATACTGTGCTCTGGAGTCCTGGAAAAACGTCACGTCTGTGCCAAGCACTGAACGCAATCTTGACACTTCAGTTCATGCCACCTCCAAGAACCAGCAATGGTCTGCTCTGGACCGCCAGCCCAGGCGTTCCCAGGGAGATTAGAATGTTAATGCCACTCTAACCAGGTTAGACAGCAGGGCACTGGCTCCCCGCTACACTCCTCAGACTTACTGTCCACACATTCCGCCAGGCCCTTAACTAGCCCTTGAAGACATGAGCAGTAATGCCTTGGGGGGGTGTGGTCCAGGAGAAATAGGGAGTTACTTGTAAAATGCCTGCAGCAGACTTCTATTGAATTCTTTTCATTGTCAGAGAGAGCTGGAGATTCTGAGATTCCTCTCAATGACACCATGAACAGGAACATATAAGCAGGGGAAGGGGACACGGAGTGTTTGGTAAGTAGCAGCTAGGTGGTCAGGGGTAGCCAAGCCCCGCCAGGCAGATACGGCCAAGGGCAGAGCGAATTCTGCCATGCGTCCTTGGGACTAGATTTATTCTAGTTGAATCAATTTTAATATATACAAAGCTTTTCTTTTTGTAAAGTCACTCCTTTGGAACAAACCACTCCTTCAACCTTTTTTAAAATTGTACAGACTTGTTCCATTTTCATGAATATCTAGACTTGGTGAGTGAAGCAACCTGATTGGCTTCCATCCAGCTGGTAGCATCTTGCAAGTGATAAAACTCCACGAAGGCGAAACCACGGCTTACACCTAGAGACAGCATTCAGATATAGACGGGATACTTGTGTTAGTCAGTTCCTTTATAACAGGCGAATCTCTCTCCCACTGCTTCAACACCGTGGGACAAAGCCAATTGGGAAGCAGTTTTATAAATGTGACTTGACTTGGGGATCTTCTTGATACTTTGCCATGGCAAGGAACCAAGCCGCCTGAGCTAAAAGCCACTCGATTTGATTCCACGCTTCAAAAGTAACCATGCAACCGACTACGAACAAGAAGTTTATACATCACTACTTACCGGAGGAAAGAAAAGCCCCTAAACACAAAGTTTTTAAAAAGGTCCTCAGATGCTCTATAACATCGTTTGCAAAGAGTCACATTCCTTAGCCATGGCAAACCTGTCATTCTGAATTCATGTGCTCGAAGGCTGGGGGTCAGGAGGGTCTTGGGGACGGGGGACGGGGGACGGGGAACGGGGAAGAGGCCCGGACAGCGGAACTCAGCTCTCACCTGTTTTCCTTTTCATGAGCCTCACATCCGCAGGCTGAGGGCCTTCGAAGGACTCCATCATTTCTCGAATCTGCACAGGGTTTTACACATTTACAGGTAAAGCTTCAGCCACAAACTGTTCCGCACCAAAGCAAGTTCAAGGACTGGGGCTGCATCTCTGCTTAATTAGCCAAGTTCTGAACTTCCATCCGCCGAATGCAATTATGCAACACGTGGACCAGAAGGAGGACTCTCACAGGAACGCCCGTGTCACTGCGCCCTTAAAGCGCTATGTGCCACCTGGGCTCCCTCAGGCCCATTATTTACCTTAGGACACACGGTCTGCTCCCAGCATCCTGTCCACCACGCCTCCCCCTTTAGCCTCATCTCACGGCCCTTTATGCTAAAGGAGCAGAACCAATGGCCAAAAAACGAGAAACTCCCCTTAAGTTAAGTAGTTTCTGCACATCTTAAGAATTTTCTTACATTTACTTTAATGATGAAAATTAACAAAGCTCATCTATTGTTAGGCCCCTAATAAATTAAAATAAACATTAACTGGGCCTAGAAGCAGCAATTCTGGCTGACAGGTTTCTCACCGATGTCACACCAAGCCCTTATTGCAAAAGGCAACGATAAAAAATTGCATTCATTTCTTTAGTAATAATTCCAGGAAGCAATACTCTCAGGGGGAAAAACAGGAGCAAATATGTGAAACAGGGATTCTCGGCGGCCCCACGTGCAGAGGCGGCAGGGCCACGCCGTAGATCCTCATCACGCGTGGCTTCTGTTTGCGAACATGCCTGCTCCTAAGTCTCTGACTGCAAGTCAGCGCCGCAGCGTTCGTGCCCATCGCTCCTGCCTGTTCCAGCGGCCACACTCCAAACAAAAGGCCCTTTCAGTCTGCTTAGCGCCGAGCTGTCCCATTTCCGCGCTGTTGCTGACATCACTGGCTAATGGCTCCCCAGTGCAAGGCCACGAGGTGCCCCATATACGTGCCAGGTAAGCTTTACTCAGCCATGACCTACAGTGCTGCTGGCCATGAGCTCGAGGCTGCTAAATCAACGATATCTATTAAACAAGGCAACTCTAAACAACTACATGCAAAACAAAGTGGGCAAAACTGTGACAAGCTCACAAGAACCGCTCTGGACCACCTCTAGGAGCAGTGAATTTACAGACAGCAACCACCCAAAACAAGGAAAATGGACTGTATTCAATTTTTCAGAGAATGAGAAGCTACACTGACTCAGGTTCATGCTTAGTAACTAAAGACAGTTCCTTCCAAAGTAGCGATACAGAAACATCACGGCAACATAGTAACTAAACACAGTTACTCTAAGAATTCCCATGTCAGTGGGAGGACAAGCGAAAGAGGCAAACAAGAATGAAAGCGACAGCTGAAGCTCAGGAAAAGATGAAATACTATGCTTTTAAAGTGTTTTAAAGAGCCCAACAATTTTTCTAAGACTATGTATCTATCTATATAAAAGCCTAAACAGCCCTAACCGGTTTGGCTCAATGGATAGAGCGTCAGCCTGCAGACTCAAGGGTCCCAGGTTCGATTCCAGTCAAGGGCATGTACCTTGGCTGCGGGCACATCCCCAGTAGGGAGTGTGCAGGAGGCAGCTGATCAATGTTTCTCTCTCATCGATGTTTCTAACTCTCTATCCCTCTCCCTTCCTCTCTGTAAAAAATCAATAAAATATATTAATAATAATAAAAAAAAGCCTAAGCAACTGCCTGACCAGTAGCTATGACGTGCAATGACCACGAGGGGGCAGACGCTCAACGCACAGGCATGGGAACATGGAACAGACTGATGAATCTCAGAGGGAAGGGGGGAGGAGGGGGGTGGGAAGAGATTAACAAAGGATCTTATATGCACACTAGAGGCCCAGTGCACGCACTGTTGGGTTCCCTCAGCCTGGTCTGTGGGGATCGGGCCATAACCATGCACCAAGCCTCCAACATCCCCTGAGGGGTCCCAGATTGCGAGAGGGCGCAGGCCAGGTCGAGGGACCCTAGTTCTGTAATATTTGGGCACCTCAGAAACCCTACTTTGAAAACCAGCCTTCTATGGCGGAGACTTCTACTTCCCCAAACAAGCCTAGAACACAAGCCCGACAATCTCGTTTTGTCACCAGCAGGGAGGCCCCAGTGGCAGCTAGAGCCTGCTCTCCCCACACCACCACCTTCCCTGGGCTCCCGGGGCCACAGGCCCCACAGACGCCTCAAGGGGACAGTCGGATGGACAGGCTCTTTCCTGAACTGGCTCCTGTGGGGCTTTTCTTCCCAACGCCACATGCTCACTGCTGCGCTCTGAGCTCAGCCCTGCCCTCGCTAACTATCACGCTTCCTCCCATCACTCCAGCCCGCACAGCTTTCGCTACCAGGCAAAACCCCCAGTAACTTCCCTTTACACTTAGCTGGGCTTCCAAAGCCTCCAGCACCTGTCCCAACAGCACCTTCCCAGCCACCTCTCCTACCACAGCCTTCAACTTTCGTGGACACAAGCTGGGTGCAAGGTCTCGTCTAAATCCAGTATCTTTCTATTCCTAGGCCTGCTCATGTGAAGTCCTGCCTGGAGGCCAGCCCCCCACTCCCGCCAGCTCTCCACCAGACAAAACACTCCTACCCCTCAAGGCCCAGCTCAGCGTCTCTCACCCGGAAGCACTTCCTCACCTGCCACCAGCAACACCCCCTCGAAGCTCTGAGGCGCCTGAGGACCTCTCGCAATAGACTGTTTCCAACACCGACCCGTCTCCTCAGCTTTGTCCTCACCACTGACCTGAGCTATTCACCTGGGCCAGTGACGGCGAACCTTCTGAGCTCGGCGTGTCAGCATTTTGAAAAACCCTAACTTAACTCTGGTGCCGTGTCACATATAGAAATTTTTTGATATCTGCAACCACAGTAAAACAAAGACTTATATTTTTGATATTTATTTTATATATTTAAATGCCATTTAACAAAGAAAAATCAACCAAAAGAATGAGTTCGCGTGTCAGAGGTTCGCCTTCACTGACCTAAGCGTTTCCTGAGACGGGCTCCATGGCTCTGCGTCACGGAGCACCCACAGAGCACACGGCAGGTGTGCAGTGGGTCCCCACCAGTGTCCCACCACTCACTCCAGCGCCCCACCTCACACCGCCACTTCCAGCCTTTAGAAGACCAAAGCTGTGCGAACCCAGTATTTACCTTCAGCTTTGTCTCAAACTCATAAACATTAGTAGAATTTTAATTTGAGAGCTCCAAGATGATACTGGCACAACGCTATGCATTTACACCTTTCAAAAACACTTCAAAACCTCACATCCATTTCACCACCACCATCGGCCGAGGGGTTTCCTGCACTAGAGCGCGGAAGCCTATCTCAGAGACGGCTGGTCCCATTGGGGGGGGGGGGGGGGGGGAGATGTGCTGATGTAAGTGCCACATGAATGTCACGAATACAGAGCTTGGGAAGAGAGGAGGAAGGCCTTCCACCTGGTGGGTCAGGAAAGGCTTTGCAGAAAGTAGCCTTTGAGCAGAAAAAGCACACGATGGACATGCCCAAGGTGGCCTGCGGGGGAGTCGGGGTGGATGTGCCTGGATGGAATGACAGATGCCACTGGGAACCAGGCAGTGCCCAGAGGAAACAAACAAACAAAAAAGAATTAAAATAAAAGAGACCAGGCAGTGCCAGGACACCAAGGCCCCAGCCGGCCAGCCTGAGGACTAGGTGGTCGGAATGGCTTCCTGTTCAACAGGCTTCCGGATGTGTCAAATGCAGTACAATTCTCATCCAGTCAAATGGGGCCAGATCAGGACAAAAGTGTTTTTACTGATACACGCTCACCAAACAATTAATCAATTCAATAAAAAGGTACTGACTGCCTTCTGAGGGCTATTGAAGGACTAACACCCGATCCCTGCAGTAAGGAATGTCAGTCTAAATGGGAATTTCTATGAATGAATGAACCCAACTGAGAGAAGTCGACCCTAAAGACAGACCTACTTCACTAACTGAGCTGTTAGCTTGAGCCCAAACAATAACACAAGACAAGGGGAGAAGCCCCTTGTGCCCAGAACGCTTGACGGAGCTGCTGTTCCCCTTACGTCGCTCTCCGAGATGGTGATGGGAAGGCCGCGCAGCATGATGGTCTTGCTCTCCCGCTCGTCGCTGATGTCGTGCCGGTAGTCATGCTCGCCATAGTCTCCATCTGAATGGTAGCCATCTTCGGATCGGTCACTGTTCCTTCTTTCACGTTCTCTCTGATTTACAATAAACAAAACCACAATGAAAACCCACTGGCCCTATACCCCCACTCCTGGAATTTATCTTCGGGAACAATAGCGAGGATACAAGAACTCCATGACAACGTCACTGCGGTGTTTCCTAAAACAGCAGAACCAAACCAAAGAAACCCTGTCACCAATCCTTCAGTTCAGGAAGCAGTTGAACCACTCACCGTGCAGATGCCAACACAGCGAGATGCCACTGCCTGTTACGATAGGAAGATGATGTGTGAGGAAACAGTGGGAAAGGAAAAGGCCAGTGCAGAATGACATGTGCAGCACGACTGCTTTAAACAGAGCCGCGCATGGAAAGGGTCATGGAAAAGCTGTGCTAAGGTAACGGAAACTACGACTTTCAGGAACGCCAGCTGAGGCGCAGGGCTGGCTCAGTATGACACCCGCATGCCGCATCCTTAAAATGGGGTACCACCCACCTCACAGGCTGGAGCGAGACCTCAGTGAGCTCACAGAAGCGAAGCACTCAAGAGCACCTGGGACAGGGCAAGCCCTGAGTGAACCCTGGCCGATATTTCTATGACTACAATAGAGTGTCTGAATGTCATGCCCCCGGAGAGACGTCCACACGTGGGATACTTACTTCCAGAAGCCTGGGCGTCTTATGCGTACAAGTCATAACGAATGCTGACAAACCCACACGCAGCTGCTGTCACTCACCTCGGGACTGTCGTAGTCTCGGTAGTCGTCGTATCGGTCCCCCCTCCGGTCCTCACTGGATCTCTTGTAATCCGAGTCCCTGCGCCTGCTCCGGGGCTCCCGCTCATCGCGGTCATCCCTGTCGATGATGGAGCCGTACCTTCCACTTCGCTCTGTTCTGCTCACTCTGCCAGGGAAAATAATTTGCATTTATTCTAAAGTAAATCACATTTTGTACCTTTAGAAAACATGGCTGAACACATGTCCACAGCTCAGTTCACAAGATATACAAATAGTTATATGTATCCCTTAAAATTTATCACTAAATCCCAGGTCACAAAGACAACCAGTGGGAAAACATCCATATTCCTAAATGCAAAACTAAGTTTTAGGAATTCACACTAAATCTGAAAATTCAGATATCAAATGTTTGGGTTTAATATTTTTGAGAAAGGGAGTGTTCAAATGCATTCTGTATTTTCTCACGCCTGTGGTCTATGCATCACCCCATTACACCTGGCTTGGATCTTAGTGATCAAAGGCAGGGAGAAATAAATTATTAGCATTTCACCCAGTTTCAAAGGAGAGCACATCCTGGCTCATCTGCTCTCAAGGGTATCACAACAGCCTGGATGAGTTACATACATCTTTTCCCCCAGCAGGCAGTGAACAAAGTAGTTCATCTGTTAGACATACCCAGCGTTGTCAGAGAACATTTTTTCCTATAACATCTAGTTTATCTTTGGTTACTGGGCAGCACTGGGAAATCTAAAAACAAGAGGCTTGAACCCACTTGACCACAGATATTCACAGTTATTTCACAAGTTATGTACCAGGTTCATAAAACTGCTGTGTAAGGGAAGACAAAGGCCAGGTTTATAAGGGCGCATTGAAAGCATCCAAATAAAAAGAAATCAATGAAAACCAGTAGCCTAGGACTGTTTCAGGATGTGAAGCCTGGGGCTGACAGGCCCTAAAAAGGTAAATGTTAATTTTGAAAGTTATTTGGAACCACAGACTGCTGACACAGAATTAAAATAATGGCATCACGTGACAAGACCATTTCCCGAGTCCCGCTGGGCCATCAATTTGGTCCTTCACTGGGACTGGCCGGGACGCTAAGGAGGCAGGTGGCTGAGTAAGGAAAGGCTGTGTGTTCAATCAAATGGCCCGAGTGGGAGAACCCACAGCTGACACAGCAGCCGCAGCTCCCACTTAATCCGGCGCTAATTCTTTAGCAGTTTGTGTGTAATCTGTGGTCGAAAACTTCCCAGCCTATAAATCTGGGTCGTCTTGCCATGCAGGGGACAGGAACTGGCCCTCGGCGGTCGCTTACGGCTGCAGCCAGGCACTGACTTCTGCACAGCTGTCACCCACCCTGGGACCTTCCGACCCACTCCACCCGCACCCCTTACCCTTCAGGCTCCACCTTAGGTAACACTTTCCCCGGGAAGCTTAACCGGCTGTTCCCAGAACCCCACGCTCCCCGTGCTGACAGCAGCCTAGCCGCCTTCCTGCAGCAGGACTCGCACCCCACTTCCGCTCCCTCCCTGCACTACACGCTGGTGAGAGCCGGGGTCACGGGAGTGCGCACAGCAGTGCCTGGCACAGACAGGCGCCTGCACATCTGTTTGATAAACTAAACAATTTTTTAAAAACTGCTCCGTCCCCGGGAAACTCTGAGGTCGAAGCATGTGCAGCGGCGACTTACCGTTTGTCCGAGCCCATTGTCTGACTGCAGCTCTAGCTCGCTGCTCCGAAAGGTTCACGGTTTGTAGGGTTTGTTTTTTTCTAGAAGAAAAGAGAGACTGGTTGCTGCAAACCCGAGTCACTGTCAGTCCTTCCGGGGCTGGGACACTACAGCGGCCGGAACTTCATCGAAGCCTGGGGGGCAGGGTGGGGGGCGGGAAGCTGGGGACCAAACTGTCAACGTTCAAGTCCGGCTGTTCTGCTAACGAGGGGAACCGCCTTTCCAACAGCAGGGGCCTGCGGGGAAGGAGCCCCGAGGGAGCGGCGGGAGGCCTTCCGGCCCCCCTGCGGGTTACACAGCAGAAAGGACGGCGCGGGCCGGCGCCCTGGGCTCCGGGTCGAAGGCCCGCCGTGGGGGAGGCGACCCTCACAGCAGCGATCGGGCCCTGACTCAGGAGCCGCGGGAGACCCAAACGTTTCGGGGGAAATCGAAAACCTTTCGGAAGGCGGGATGCTGAGCTGACTGAAATCCACTCCACTTGCGACACAACGGCGGCCCCGAAGCCACTGCCATCCGGCCAGCGGCCAGCGTGGACACGGCTTGGACTTGCTTCCCGGGCGACACGGACCTCCGCGGCCGGGGCCGCCGCCCGCGAGGCCGGAGGCTGTCCCGGGCCGCCCCCAACGAACGCTGGCGGCATCGGGATCGGGGAGAGCCGTCCGGGAGACAGGGGCCTGGGCAGAACCTCTGATACGCCCCCGACGCCGGGCCGGTGCCCAGACCCACCGCCCGGGGTGTCGCGGCCGAGATGGCGGCGCCGGCGCGGCCGACTGGGGCGTCCGGCTCCCCGCCGCTCCCGGCACACGCCCCCCCTCCCGCCCCCCAGAGGGCCCCGCCCGCAGAGCAGCCATCACCGAGCAGCCTCCCGGGGAGGGCGGCTGGGGGCTGCCGAGAGGCACCCGAGGGGCCGAGAGGCACCCGAGGGGCCGCGACGGCTCCTGGCTCATCTGGGCTGCGGAGCCAGAGCCCGAAGGAAGCGGGCCTGGGCGGGGCGGGGCGGGGGGCGGCCCTCGGAAAGCTGACGGCGCAGGCGGCGCCGAGGAGCGCGGGCCTCCGCCGCCTCGGGCAGTTTAGTCCGCGGAGAGATCCGGCCGGAGCTGACGGCCGTGGCCCGAGCGCGGGGGCCCGGGAGGCCCCACGAGCACCGCCCCGACAGCGGGGACCGCCGGTCGCTACGCCCGGCGCCGCACTTACTTCCAGGAAGGATCCAAGCGGCCGAGGTAGCGGGTTTGTGTCTCAGAACCTCCAACCGGGGACCACCGCTCCACAAAATGGCGCCTCCGTCGACCGCCGTCTCCTACCCACAGTGCCTCGCGCCCACCCCTCCCCCGACACGCCCCCCGAGGAGGCGTCCAATCCGCGGAGGCGCCTGGCTGCGCGAGGGCTGCTGGGAAGTGTGGTCGCTAGGGCAGCCTGTCAGTTACTACGCCCCGCGTTAATTTCCTGCGTATTTCCCTTCTTCAAACGCGCGCCGGTTGCCAAGCTGCCCTTTGCAGACCCGGGTTAGAGCCTTTACCGTTATTAGGCATAGCAATGTTTTGTCTTTGTTACAAGCACGTTTAACCCGGTTTTAAGATAAGAAACGCTAGTTCATCTTATGTTGCATTATTGGACGCTAAGATTATTGGGCAGGATACTTTACAAATATCTATTTCATCTTCATAGCCTATGAAATGGTGATTAAATCCACTTTGCACGTGAGGAAATTGAGATATATGGAAATGACGAGGATTCTTGAAAGCAGGTCTAAAAAGTATTCCATTGATGTTCTCTTGTTACTTTAAGGGTTAATTTAATGTCTAGTAGTATCTCAAAGTTAACACAGCCAAAACCCCAGCCTCCTCTCCACTACCTTCCCTGGCTCATAAGTGGAAACTCCCTGCTTCCAGTTACTCAACACAAAAACCTTGGAGTAATCTGTGACTTTTTCTTGCACCCAACCTGTCAGCAAATTCTTCTCATTCTACCTTCAAAGTATTTCTAGCCCTGGCCAGTTTGGCTCAGTGGATAGAGCGTCAGCCTGCGGACTGAAGGGCACATGCTCGGGTTGTGGGCTCGATCCCCAGTGGGGGGGGCATGCAGGAGGCAGCCGATCAATGATTCGCTCTCATCATTGATGTTTCTCTCTCTCTCCCCCTTCTTCTCTGAAATCAATAAAGAAATATATTTTAAAAAATATTTCTAGAATCTAACCACTCCTAGCTGCAACTGCTGTCCACCTAGCCAAAGCCACTACTATTGTCCTTATTTTGTGGAGCGGGGAGGTCACACAGAGCTAATGTGTTGGAACTGGGATATGAACTAGTACGTTTGATTTCAGAGTCCATGGCCTCAGCCACTAGAATGTAAACTCTAGGAAGGCAGGGTCCTTTGTCTATTTGGCTCACTACTCTATCCCTGGTCCCTCTACCGGTGCCCGGCACACAGTGTGCACTCAGTAAAGATTTGAACAAAAATGAATCCACGATCAAAGCGAAAGGCATAACATTTGTGGCAGGAAGCAGCAGAGGTTCTTGGACGATTCAGAGATGTGTTGGACTCCCGCCAGTGAGGAGGTGGTCTTTTCGTGCATCCAGTTAGCACAACTTCCCATCATTAATAAATTATTTTTAGTGGCACTTTTTCGGGTCACTTATACAAACTGAAAAATAGACCATGACAAGGCAGAGAAAGGTGTCAGTGTAGCTATGAAGAACCGCGCCCATGCCCCTCTCTTCTAGATAACTAAGTGGAAGGGGGTCGGTGAGATTCCCAGCCAGAACCTTCAAATATACTAAAAAGTATTTTTCCTAGAAAAACATCTTTAAACATGTTCTTAAAAAATGTTTGTATTGATTTTGAGAGAGATGAAGGGAGAGGGAGAAGGGAGTGAGATAGGAACTCCCACCAGCTGCCTCCTGCACACCCCCTACTGGGGATTGAGCCCACCACCCAGGGATGTGCCCTGACTTGAACTCTGACCAAAGACCTCTTGGTGCATCTGGTGACACTCAACGACTGGGCCACACCAGCTGGGCTAAGCATGTTCTTATGGCTTATCCGTCAACATCAGGGCATTAAGTGACTGACACTGGGAACTCTTTGGGTAATTAAAAATATGACAACAGGGAAAGGTAGAAATATCTGGATTCTGGAGTAATGGGCCATTTATTTCTGCTCTCGCTGCCTCTCTCCAACTCTATATGTATGTACATATCTATCTCTCAACTCTGCTTGGGCTACTATAACAAAATACCAGACTAGGTAGCTTATAAACAACTTGTCATCAGAAAAAAGTAAATGTATGTGCTCCACAGAAGGCACTCAAATGTGTTTAATGGAATTTAAAAGTTAAATACACCCTATCTAAATAAAATAAAATTTCAATTAAAAAAAAAAGTTAAATACAGATGGGATCAGCCCTGGCCGGTGTTGCTCAGTGGATAGAGTGTCAGCCTGTAGACTGAAGGGTCCCAGGTTCAATTCCGGTCAAGGGCACATGCCTGGGTTGCAGGCTTGATCCCCACTAGGGGGCCTGCAGGAGGCAACTGATTGATTCTCTCTCATCATTGATGTTTCTCTCTCTCCCTCTCCCTTCCTCTCTAAAACCAGTAACAATAAAATATATGTATTTTTTTATATGTATTTTTAAAAAAAATCTCTTAAAAAATACAGATGGGATCTTTGCAAACCTGCAATGGACAAAAGATGCCAAGAATCCCGAACCTGCCAGGCTTAATGGCCACTAGCAGTTAATTGCCTTGCTCCCAAAGGAGTTCGACAAGCATTTCTGGGCTGGGCACCTCCCCCGTCATAAAAACTATATGGCTGTTCATAAATGGCACAAAATCATTGTTAGCCGTGGAGGAGAGGCCTAGGAAACAAGATGGATGCCATTCAGATTCTCTGGTCGCTGCCCTTCTGTGTGGACACTGCCTGGCTGAGTTCCAGAGCTGGGCCCCAGAGGCCTGCCTGGCAGCTGACGTGGTCTGGAAAAGCTTAAATTCCCAGCCAAGTAAGGACAACGAAGACAACAGTGAGTTGTCTTTTAAGTAAAGCCACATGTGTTCACTACAGAATAAAGAATAGTCCTTAAGGTAGCCTTTACTACTTTTTTGATGTAAAAAAAAAAAAAAGTTCTCCACTTAATGAACTATTACTAGGCCTTCCCTGTCCCCCTTAATCTTCAACCACTTGGCAAGAGAAAAGACTAGTCCCATGTTTTGGTCCCAGGCTGGGAATGACTGCTCTAGAATATCAAGTGAAAAAAGATGTGAAAACTCGGGCCTGTACCAAGAAACAAAAATAATTTTTGTCCAGCTGGGCTTGGATGAAGTGAAAGGTGTCATTAAAATTTAATTCGACTAGTATTTTCCATAGGCCTGAGCTCAGCATTCTCCACGCCCTGCTGAGCGCCTGCTGCGGGCCCTGAGCCGGGGCTAGGGACACAGGAATGAAGAGCACCCTCAAGACCCTGCCCTTCGGCGGCTGGATTCTAACCGAAGGCCTCAGGGAACTTCCCAGGGACACGGCAGGGGGACACATTCTTCTCACCATTTCCACTTTCATCAATACTCACAGTATTGCTTTTAAATTGTGTTAAATACGTTAGAGCTTATTTCCAACAGCAAACTCTCCATTAAAGTGGCAAAATAAAACCAGAAAAGAACAAAAGGAGGCAATGGCCCAAACTAGTCTCTGAGGTCTGTCTCCGGGAAAGATGAGGACCAAGTCCATGTCAGACCATCCCAAGAGCTTGCCCCACTTCGTCCTCAAGGCTCTCATGCCAACAATTGTTCAATAGTCCTCTTCCCCAGGGCACCCGTGACACGTAGTGGGCTCTCAACACATTCCTGGAGCGGCCACATAACCTGGTACTCCGCTGGGCAGCCCATACCCTGGGTCAGCTAAGTGGCATCTACAGGAGTCAACAGTGAAGCATTTGGCATGTTCCATAGCTCACTCCAGGCCCGCAGGTCAGGAGGGAGGAACCCTGGTCTGGTCAGCTCAGGACAAACGAGGGCCAGCTCCCAGTGCTTTGAGCCCTCCTCAGTGGCGGTCAGACAGGAAGCACTGTGATGCAGGGTGCTCTTGATGCTTGTTTTCCCTTTTAAAGGGATAAAAGGACTTATTCAAGATGAAGAGGAAGGAATTGTATCTGGACACAGCATGCAAACAATTTAAGTTCACACTATCATTCTGGTTGCTGGAAATGTTTTCTCCTTGGGGTATGCCCACCTCTCCTTACCTCTCCCACCCTACACCATCCATCCCCTCCAAAATGCCAGCTCACACCCCATCTTTTTATAGAGCTCTTCTTGGTCTTGCCTTATGCTGGACCTGCCCTTAGAACAGGGGTTGGCAAACCACAACCTGTGGGCCAATTTTGGCCAGCAACCTGTTTTTGTAAATAAAGTTTTATTGGAACACAGGCACAATCACTTGTTTAGGTATTATTGTCCATGGCTGCTTTCTCAATACACAGGGCTGAGGCTAAACACAGACTCTGTCTCTTCACAGAAAGTTCACACTCTCCTGCCGTATGTCACCGAGATGCTCTTCTGAACACGCAGGTCTCTTCCTGAGAAATAATCTTCTCTGTGGCATCGGAAAAGTACAGTTCTTAGTACTATCATCTGTTACTTTGAGGAATTATCTTTAAAAGTTTTAATAGGTTCATAGGACATAGTCCTTCAACTGCAAAGAATTAAAAACCACCACCTGTGAAATGGTGAATGACATGGTGGGGAAGTTAAGATTTGAAAGGCACAGACACCTCTTCGCAGGGGAGGAAAGCTGGGCATGGCCGGAGAGGAGTGTGATTCTTACTATGCTGACTTGTGATCACATGTGTGAAGCACCGAGTACCCAGCAGGCACTCAGAGAGGTGTCACACCTGCCCATCCCCCCAATAAGGGAAGTCAGAAGAGGACTTACAAGGGCCATTAGAGCAGTAAACCAATACATGGAATAGTTCAGCGTCAGCAGTTAGCCAAGGAATAGAAACAAACGATAATGAGATGCTAGTCTCATTAATTAGATGATAAAAGTAATTCTTAGTCTATTCACACAGGCTCGAGTTCAAGGTCACTCATACTGGCAGCAGGCAGTGCTACAGGGCTCAGTGCAGCAATCTTCACCCAGCAGCATCTCAAATGGGCCCACCGCAAGGCCCGCTCTCCTGTCCACCGTTACTGCCAACTCCAACCAACCTACAGAGGATAAATTCAACAACCCAAAAAAATCACATTGAAAAAAAGTTTATTTAAAAAAGTTCTAGCAGCAAGAACAGTAACAAAACAAAAGGAGAGACTGACAAACAAAACAAGGAGGCTGTGTCCCCTGGGACTGTCTCCATCCTTCAATCAAGTTCTTTATATCGAGCAAACATGACTCTTCGCACAGCGTCTCGGTAAGTCTCGTTGGACTGTCTCTTGCTGGTTCTTCCAGGTGCCCCCACCCCGGGCCCCCTCATCCGGCCTTCAGTCTGTAAAAAAAGGCAAACCATGAGGCGGGCTCTCAGAAGGAAATTAGCTTCTGGGCTGGTCTTTGACTATAAAAGTTTCTGAACCAGTACGGATCAGGACACAGAATTTTTTAGGTGTTTAATAAACAAGCACCCAAGATGAATAAGGAGGGTGGTGAAGCCACCATTTCAGGACACAAAATTCAACACCAGAACTAGGAGACGCTAACCTTGTTGGCGAGTCCAGAGGGGGACTAAGCCTACCCAATCTGGGCAATGTTTCCTTCCTCTTCTCGCCTTCTTTGTTTTTCCTGAAATCTGAGGGGCCAAGTCCTTCCTGGGAAACCAGGACTAACTTCATGCTCCTCAAAGACAGGACAGCATGCCCGGCCCGTGTGGCTCAGCGGTTGAGCGTCGACCCATGAACCAGGAGGTCACTGGGTCACGGGTTTAATTCCTGGTCAGGGCACATGCACGGGATGTCGGCTTGATCTCCAGCAGGAGGTGTGCGGGAGGCAGCCAGTTGATGTTTTTCTCTCATGGATGTTTCTCTCTATCCCTCTCCCTTCCTCCTCTCTCTCTAAAAATCAATAAAAACATGTTAAACGCCTTTCTACCTTTTGTTGCTAGTTCCCACGTTTTTACCAAACGATTCTTCAGTCTCAAACTGCCTGATTCCCACAAGGCCTCACCTCTGACTCTGTGTAAGAATAAGATGAGCCCGATTCTAATTTCTCTCTCCCGGTCCCACCACCAAGCAAACTGCCAAGGGCAGGCATGTAGTTAAAACCCAGTTATCAAGGCCGAGGGGCTCCTCAGCTCAGACCCTCCGCCAGCAGCGGAGAGAGCCCAGCTCAAAGGCAGGGCCACAGCTCTGGGCCACAGAGAGAAAGTTAAGTATGCTCCAGGTTCATGCCCCCCAACAAGACGGAAACCATGTCACCTCTTCCGCCGAAGCCAATCCAGGGTGGCCATGTCCGGGCCCCTTCCTCCAACCAGCAGCCTGTTGAGCACAGCCTCCTCTGCTGCTGTTGTCAACATCTTCTTTATCAACAGGTTTCCGGTCACTGCAAAGGAAGCAGACATTCTTAGACACCTCCCTTTCCAAGGGACTTGCTTGTGGGGACACGGAGATGACCAAGACCTGACCCTGTTCACAGGGAAGGACGTGAGGAGAATATGTCAACAGATGCTTCTGGCGCAGAGCACCCAGCCATGGGCGTGCAACAGGAGCTCTGTGCCACTGAACTACAGCACAGGGAACACACACTGTGAAGGGGCGTCACCGGAAATGACAGATCCCACGAGGGGACACCTGCCTGGGTCTGACAAACGAGGAGTCAGGGAGCCAGAAGAAAGGCGCAGTGAGAGAGCGAACACGACTGCCCCGGAGAGGGGGGCAGGACTGGCAAACGGCTGCTCGGGCCGGACTGCAAATGACTACTGGACATCTCGCTCCATCAGGCCTCTGGACTTCACTCCTCGGGCAAAGAAACCCCCTGAAAACCAGGCCTCCCTCCAGGCAATGTCACTTCCACACAGAGGAGGTCGAGGAGCCTCCGGCATACAAAGGTCATGGTGCAGCGGGGAAAGGATGGACGAGGACTGCGAGCAAAGGAGCGATGAAGGAGTCCGGTTTGGAGGTGAGCTAGAAAGGGGCCCAGGCTTTACCAGGAACGTGACCACTAGCACCAGGGGATAAGGAGGAAGACTGGGCCAGACCAGGGAGACCATGATGCAGTGGCGTCATTACTCTGAACAGGAGCACAGCAAGTTCTCCATACCCTGAGGACTGAGTATAATGTGGACTACAACGCTGAGTAACTGTTTAGTGTGAGCAGCCGAGGGTGTCCGAGAGGACATGCCCAGGAGGTAAATGAAAATAGTGACTCAGCACAGGAAACAGAACTGATTCAGGGTGGAGTTACAGGACTTGTTAGCTGGTTCGTGGCGGCTGTGGCTTTGGGTACCTTGGACAGTGCAGGTCAAGAGGGTACGGCACTGAGGGCAGAGTCCTGGACAATAATCACCCAGAAAAGGGATGAGTAGGAAAGAAGATGAAGGAGGAGAGCCAATAGAAAGTGGTGCGAAGGGAAAGGGAAGAGAGGAGGTCTCCTTCCTGCACCTTTGTTCTTGCCCAAGAGTTCAAATGGCAGAGAGTGACCCAATGGGATGTGCCCGCCCCCACCATGTGTTACAATAAAGGTTCCCCAGAGAAAAAGTCTGAGTGTGACCCGTTTATCGGGCCCATGGCTGACATGGGGAGAAAGGGCTCCCAACCATGGCCATGCCAGCACTGGCTTTGGCCGCGAAGCAGCCAGCCCATCTTCCAAGCAAACACGTACTCCCTATAAAGACAGGGGGCCAGAAGGCTGGGTGAGGCTCATGCTCAAGGAGCTGAGACAGCCCCGCTGCCTGAGACAGAAAGCAGCAGCACAGCTGGAGGAGGGGTGGCTCCCCGTTCGGTCTTGAGACCGAGGCTGAGTCCAGAGCTCCTGGCTTACCTGTCAGTCTCTCTGGAGTATTTAATTCGTTTTCTTTCTGGAGAGTCAAAAGACTGAAGCTTTTCTCTGCGATCATTTCCTCTTTCTTTAAACTTCCCCTGTTGGGAAGCAGAAGAACAGAGCTGAGGGGCAGAGAAGTGGGGAAGCCTCATTTTATTCTTGATTATTTCTCTGAATGTGAAGGGAGTTCATCTGGCGGCCAACCCCTGGCATCTCTCGTTCCTCCACACGCTGCCTGAAGACGCAGCAGCTGCTGGGGCAGCCAGGGAGGAACAGGGTGTGTTCCATCAGCTGCTTTTCCCATCCGAGGAGGAGGGGCCTCCCAGCATCACGAGGTCTGCCCTGGGCTGGGGCAGCTCCAGGCTGGGGCCCGAGGCTGGCGAACTGTGTGGTCCAGGTGGCAGGTCCATTTGGCTGCCACAGGAAGCTACCTCCTCTAGCAGCTGCAGCAGGAAAAGGTGTTACCCCAGCAGCCCTGGCCAACACTCCTGCACTGATTTCAAGAGGTCAGTGAAATGCTCTTTATGTGACCTACTCAGAAACCCTTAGCACCACCTTTAAAAATACATCACCTTTATTAAGATGTGCTTTATACACAATAAAATCCACCCGTTCCAATGCAGATGAGCTGAGAACCGTTACAGCATCCTTTAGGGCCTCCTGTTCACCGTCTTCAGCACAGCCCAGGAATTCCACACCAGACAGCACAGCCACGGCCATAACGGTCCCCTGCGCTTACCTCCCGTTCTCTCCTCTCCAGGTAGGCGAGCTCCTGCTCCGACTGCTTTATCTTCCGGTGGATTTCCAGGTTTTGCTGAGAAGAGAAGGCGCTCTGAGTGCAGGTCTAGAACGAGTGGTCCAGAAACGCCTCCTGGCCTTTCCCCGCGGCTGCTTCCGGACTGCGGCTCCTCTCATGACCAGTCCCCTAAGTGGCCACGACACCCTGGCAGCACCCATCCCTGACTGGTCTCCTAGGCTCAGCGACGGGAACCCCAGCTCTAATGCTGCCTGTCACACAGGTTAGTCATGTGGGTGGCACAAGAGGACTTCACTCTACTTCTAAGATGTAAAAGACACCACTCTGGTTTGTATCTCTTCACCTAAGATACAAATTATGGGAGGGAATCTGAGCACACCAGGAAGAAAACCAAATGCCCACATGCTCTGCCTACTGCTCCCCGGCATCCAACACTATTCACTTTCAAGCCCCCAGGGAAACATTAAAAGGAAGCCCAAGGCCTTTAAGGCAGACAGACTGCTCTGAGAGTCCCTCTTCCTTGAGGGCCCCACACTGACGCGGCTCCCTACACAACGCCCTCAGGCACATGGAAGAGAAGGAACTAGAAGGGGGTTCTCTGTGCGGGTCTCTCCAAGGGAAGGGAGTGCTAGCCTACCTTCTCCTGCCCAGGGCCAGCTCCGTCTGTGGGTTACCAGACGGTTAGCTTCTCTCTCCTGACAACTACCTTCTGTCCCTTTAGCCATTTAGTATTTTCATCAGAAAGTTGAAATTTAAATGTCAGTCTGATGTCTCAGAATTTGAAAAGGTTGCAGGGACTCGGGAGGAAGTCAGTGGCAGGAACTGTCCGAGGGGCGTCCCAGAACCCCGGGGGCTGTGGGAACCTCCAGAGGCAGCGGGAGAGGAGGTGTGCCTGTTACCGAAAGCAGAGATGCTTGGCTTCCAGCCACGTGAGACATGGTTTATGTGGAGAGAGTCTCATCCAGCCCCTTCACCCGCTGCAGAAGGCTCCACAGCACGAGTCCACTATGGGCTTTATCTGCCCAGAATCTGGCTCCTGGTCTGTACATGTAAATGGGAAGGCTGCAGACGAGGCCCGATACTTGTCCATTAATGCAGCATGGCCCACAGCAGCACCTCCCCACAGGGAGAGATGGCAGGATGTGACCCCGGGGGAACTGCGCCCTGAGAGGCAGGTGAAACAGGAGAAGCCTCCAAGCATAAAGCAGAGGAGGGGGCTTGAGTGAGGCCCCACTGCTAGGCTAGCCACAGAGCTCAGGTGAGAAGCCCAGCTTCCCACTGCACAGCCGCCTCCTGCCTTTAGCACAGGCTCCGCGCGTGGCGCCCCCGCCCCAGCCACGCTGCTCGCCTTGGGTCTGAAGTTTTCTGAAGGTGGCACAGCTTCATCCAAAGCAGCTCATGGAAAAGGGAGCAGCTTATTCTGGAAGGGGCCCGATTTAGCCATGGGAGCGGAGGGGAGGCAGCTGAGGAAGGGCGGCAGGCGCTTTTTCAGTGCCCGAAATGCTCGGCGATGGCAAACGTCACCGTGTGGAAGGCCAGCCCCCCCCCCCCGCCCCCCCCTTACCTTGTGCAGGTCTGAGAGCTGCTGGTGCTTGATCAGAACGTCTTTATTAGGAAACTGCCTTCGGCAGAGCAGACAGGCCAGCTTATTCCAGTCGGTGAGTTTGTCTTCTTCGTTCTCCTTCTTGCTCAGCTCCTCCTGCTGCTGGGGCTGCGCTGTGCGGGGCTGCGGAGGGGGCTGCTCCTCCTCCTCCTCCTCCTCATAGTCACTGTCTCCTCCGTATTCACCCAGGAGGCCAATCAGTGGGTTAACCACCTTGGGCTGGAAGGAGGGGGCCAGGGATTAACACCAACCTTAACCTATATTTTGGGCCCGTTTTTCTGGATATTCTGATCTGGGCATCTCATTTCTTCTTTTAGTTTGAATAGTGAACTGGGTTCAGTATACGCCCACTGGCCATACTGCTCATTTCCCAGATGGAGGCAACACGGTTCGAGCGTGACTGTTCTCCGTGCTGAGAGAGAGACACACAGGGACCCTCGGAACAAAGCGGCGAAGAGAAGGCAGAGGGAGGAGAGCTGAAGTCGAACGCAGAGAAGAGTCACAACCTGACAAGTTTCAGAGGAAGAGACACAACCACCTGCCAGCACTGTGACCCGGAGAGGAGGGAGGCTAAGACTGCAGCACCCCCTAGGGGTTAGGAGGCGGCTGAAAGCCATGGAGGACAGCCCTGGGGTAGAGCTATGGCTTCTCAGCAAGGGAACCACAAAGGGGTTAGGACAGCTGTGCTACAATGAACTGAGTTAAAAATGGGGAACGAGCAGGGCACCTACCAGTAGCTCACAGGAAACTGCTAGGTAATAAGGTAAGGTCACTGGCCTATGATCAATCAAAAGTAAAAACTAAAGCAGGTTACTACTGTTCTGGAGAGGGGGGGAAGGAGGGAAGAGAAGCATCAATTTGTTGTTCCACTTATTTATACATTCACTGGTTGATTCTTGTTTTTTTTAATGTATTTTTTTTATATATTCCTCTCTGGTCTCAGAGAGGAAGGGAGAGGGAGAGATAGAAACATCAATGATGAGAGAGAATCACTGGCTGGCTGCCTCCTGCACGCTCCCTACTGGGGAACCAGCCTGCAACCAAGGTATGTGCCCTGACCAGGAATCGAACGCTGACCTCCTGGTTTATAGGTCGATGTTCAACCACTGAGCCATGCAGGCCGGGCTCATTGGTTGACTCTTGTATGTGCCCTAACTGGGGACAGAACCTGCACCTTGGCATACTGGGACAATGCTCTAACCAACTGAGCTACCCAGCCAGGGGACGAGACTATCACACTAAGGCAGGGGTTCTCAGCCTTGGCTGCACATGAGAATCACCTGGGAATCTTTTTAAAATCCTGGTTTCTGGGCCTCATCCTCCGGAAATTCTGTTTCCTTGTGATGGGGTGGGGCCACAACATTAGTAACAAAGAAACAGAATTCCCGGAGGATGAGGCCCAGAAACCAGGATTTTAAAAAGATTCCCAGGTGATTCTAACGTGCAGCCGCGGCTGAGAACCACTGCACTAAGGCATCTAAAAAATAGATACCAATGTTAGCCACTGCTCATTTTGGCCAGGCAAGCAAACTACAAAAATGACCAAACATCCACGCCACACATTCTTATGCAGCACCAACGGACAGGCAACACCAGGCCAGAGCAATGGGTTTCGATCATTTAGAAGGGAAGAATTAGCACGCCCAAGATTGTAACTGAAAAAGGGCCAGGCAGGCCCCGCTCTGGGGGAATGGAGCAGAGGAGAAGGAGCGAGGACAGAAAATAGCCTCTGCTTCTCCAGTTAAAGCGTGACTAGCAGTCTGCCCACTCACACCTGCTGGGAGACAGCACTAAAGGATCAACGTCCAAGGGAGCCCGCCCCTGACCCTCCTTTCCCGTTGGGAGCCAGCCCAGCCCGGCACCAGCCCAGCCTTACTGGGGGAGGGCTCTCCTCCTTCTTCACAGTGGGAGGCAGGGGCTTCTTAAAGACATCCTCTGGGGGGACTGTCTCCTCACTGGCGTCTTCCTGAAACTGATAAAATCCAAGGTAATTCTCATAAAAGTTAGGTTAAGAGTTGTTACGATTTCAAAAGAAAACACACACACACTTAGTATATTATTGAGTGATTACTGTATGTCAGGAACTTCAGGGAATAATTTAAAAGGAGACATGAAATGCTAAGTGCTGTACATGATGACACTGTAAGATCAGAAAGAAGAGACAAACAATGCCAAAATGACAAAGAAGATAAGGGTGCACTTTCCTGTGAATTTCTACTACACAGGCATGAAAATAATAGTTTAAAATGCTACCCCCGCTGCAGTGACACTACAGCGCTGTGTAGAGTCAACACTGAAGAGGGAAGGCAGGAAGCGAAACTGGACGGAGGAGCTGGGGTTTGAGCTGAGGCCCTATTTCACCCCCGGCTTCTGCGCTTGTAAGAGAGAGAAAGACCCCACCTGCTCTCTGAGCAACTCCACCCTCCGACCCGAGCATCCTCTGCAGAGACCCCTTTGTTTCCATCTGTAAGTCTCGCGGAAAAGAGGGCAGATCGCAAGTCCTCTCACCCTCGGCCCGCCGCGGTCCCTCTTCTCCTTGCCGTCCCTTTTAGACGGCTCCTTCTTGCCACCCGACTTTCCCTGACTGGCTGGCTTCCTCTCCTTGCTCTCTTCTTCCTCAGGTGACCCAGGGTCCTGGGGCACATAGACTTCTTGCTGTAATACAGTTGGAACAGGTAAGTCTACAGGATATTTCACCTTCCCAGTAGTTTCAGGTCTTAGGAGCAGTTCCTTTCTGGGGGAAAGAACAGTTCTCTCACTCCCAAGTCTAAGAAGAGACACATCAAACAAGGTGAAAACCCACTCCAGGCAGAGGACACACCAGGCGACGCACTGTCACTTCTCCTAAGAGCAGCACTGTTCTAACCCGGAACACCGAAAGGTGCTGACTTTCCACATAGGCAGCAGTTAACATAAAGGTCGTCATCTTTACAATCTACCTGGACAAGTAAATGCCACTCAACGGAAGCCCTGGACTTTTAAATCACTGACAGAGTGAACAAAGCCCAAAACTCACCTGGGTGTTGGGGTCATAATAAGTTCCCGCCAAGGGGTCATAATAGTAGCCAGTGGCCGAGTCATATATGTAGCAGTCCGATGACGCTGGAGGGAATAAAACCAGGCCCTGTCAGTCCCCGCCAATGACTAGCCAGCGACGCGGCTGGCCCACCTCCACAGAGCGGACCTGCAGGTGGCGCTCCCTCTGAATGAGCAGCCCCTGGCCAGCTTTGTGAGCACAGGATTGTAATGGTTGTCCAGCCAAAAACACACACAACAGAAATAAAAGAAAGGGCACTCACACTGCTGTCCTTGTCGATTTGAATCTGCAGACCAGTCGGAATTTCTGCCACCGCCCCTCCTATCTCGGAAATATTTCTTGCCCTATCACAGAAAGGCAAGTTAAAAGAGTGGAACTTCCGATAGCCATTAACCTTTAAAGTCACCACTAGAGAGACTCACAGCCACTCTTTCAGTCGCCTGAGAATCGTAACAGAGCACTCACTCCCCAAATGCGGAAGCCTACCTGATAGTAGTGGTCAGAATGGTCCCCAGAATCATTTCTGCAACAAACAATACAACATGTCATGCGCCTGCCACCAAAGGTCACCTGAGAAGTGCCCGACCCTACAGGCCAAAGACACGTTCTTCCCTTGCAGGGAAGGAACCACCCGCCACAGCAAGCGGTTCTGTGGTGCAGACTCCCGAGGGTGGGGCAGCGGGCGTCTACAGAGCCTCTGATGGAGCGAAACAGCAACTGAGCTGAGGGTGCAGGAGCCAGATGTGTCCATCCCTGTAAGCCGCCTCTCTGACGTAGTTACCATTCCTGGACCATGATGAGGGAAGGAGTAAAGAGGAAGGGAGTCCCCAGGGCTATGGGAGTGTGAACAAGGTGAGGAGAGTAGGACAGCATTTTTTTAGAATTCCAAGGGGCAAGGTGGTATCAAGATTGTTCTGCACATCCAAGAGTGTAGCACCATTTGGGCCCAAAGATACCAGGCAGTCACGAAGGAAAGGACTCAAGTACCCAGTACTACTAAGGGGGGAAACCTAGAGTCAGAACAAGGCCAGCTTCAGAAAAGAACACTAAGCTATCCACAAAGGAAGGCACCGTGCCTTGCTCTGTCTGTCTCTCCAGCAGGAATAGGAGCTTCCTCCCCAAATCTCCAGTGGAGGCAGCAGGGGACCCAGCCCCCGCTCTGCCTTACCTTCGCTTCCCAGTGGCCAGGTTTACAGCTACCATCTTCCCGTCGATACTAAACGGTGGGTCGAGGTTCTGCAGGATCCTCACTACACGAAGAGCTTCCTGGGGACCCAAAGACACGTGTGAACCCCAAGAGAGGAAAGGCATGTCCTCTGCAGGAGCCTGGCCTAGGGCTTCCCTCCTCACAGGAGAAGGTGCGGCACAGGGTGGTCTGGCCGGAACAACACGAAGGGCGCTGCAGAGACAGGCTCCTCGGAAGGCAGCTGCCCAGAGCGGCCCTCCGTTTCTTTTCTTTTTTAACCGGAAAACATTTCATTGTGAGAAGCACCTTTTTCTGAGTCACACAGACTTAGGGTTTGTTCCAGAAGGGAAGACAGCATAATCAATTCAGATTTATGATTTTGCTTTTTGTTTTTTATCAGTTTCTCATCTAAATGTCAGAAATTCAAATCCTTTATTTTAGGCTGCAACTGTCCTCACATCAGATCCAGTTTACAAAGTCCCTTGTGATTTCTGAGCATGAAATCTGCGATGTACCCATGATTTTTATTACTATCTTGATGTCACTTCCATGGAAAACGCCCCACAGCTAAAAATTCACGTCACAAGAACCTACCTACAAAAGCAACACTCTGAGGACAAAGAGGGTGCCCTGTGACCACCAAGTAGAAAACCGCCTGTGGTGGGTAAAACACGGTGGAGAAATGAGAAAATTCACTAAACTCCTGAAAGGCTCAGTACTCGGACTCTCCAGCAGTGACCAGGCTCTCTGCGTATTCTAACCGGAAACTGGAAATGCACAAGACAAAGTGGACTGGAAAACCACTCACGATTTCCAAGTTCCACGGGGAGTCACTTCACCTCCATGGACTTAAACCCAAAGGAGGGGTTTCTACAGCAGCTGCCGCTAGGCCACTGCAGGGGGAAACTCACGGCGTGGGAGTCGAGGTCAATGAAGCCATAGGTGTGGCCCATGGGGCCGGTTCTGTTCTTGATGATCCGGACGTTGGCAGTGGTCAGGTGGACGTAGGGCTCCAGCACTTCCACGATCACCTCAGGCGGCGTGGACCGATAGATGCGTTTGAGCATGATGGCTGAGCAAACCGCCGCAAGTGGCAGAGCAGCAGAGAAAGACACAGAAGGGTTAGCTCTGAACCTCACAGCCTGGCTGCTTTTGTTGTTAACTGCGGATGCTACTTGCTCTGGCGAGGCTGCTTCTGTAACCAACGCTAGTCAAACAAATGCCTCCTCCGTTCCCGCACCAACACTCAGAGATCCACACTGAGGCCTGCTGCGTGTGAACAGCAACTGGCTACTGGAGGATGAAGGCCCCTGTAACTAGCACAGCAAGCCCATCGGGCTGAGCGGCTGTGCGAGGGTGTGGGAAGGGGTGGTCCCCAGCCACACAGGACGTCCTCCCCCCACCACGGTGTCACCAGCCCCGACACAGCACTTACTTTTGCTCTCCCCATCCTGGCGCGTCTCCCCAGACCACGAATCCTTCTCTCGGTCTCTTCGGAAGCTGAGCCCTTCCCTTCGAGAGGAAGGCAGATACCGATCTGCGTCTTTCTTTTGATGCCCCAAGCGTGGTTCTTGTCCTTCTTCCCGCTTCTTGGGCTCAGGTTCCTTATCAGTGGACCTTGGGGGCTGGCTGGGTTGTTTTTCTGACGGTGGTGGGATGGGTGTTTTCTGAAGCTGAGGGTAAGTTACTAAATCCTGCTTCACGTCTGTCACTAGAGGAACAGAAACAGAACCTCTGGCAAGTTTTATCCAAAAAGCACTGCTGCTCTGATTCCTCCTCTCCGCCATCCAATACTGACCCTGGAATGCTTCCAAGTCTCAGGACGCCTACAGAAAGTCCCTGACAGATTACACACAGAGCTAATGAGACAGCACATGCAACAGTTCACAGAAGAGCCTATCCAAGTATTAAAAAATTTAATGTTAGCCCAGCCGGGGCGGTTCAGTGGTTGAGCGTCAACCTATGAACCAGGAGGTCACGGTTCCATTCCCGGTCAGGGCACCTGCTCTGGTTGTGGACTCGATCCCCAGTGGGGGACGTGCAAGAGGCAGCTGATCAATGATTCTCTCTTCTCATTGATGTTTCTCCCCCCCCCCCTTCCTCTCTGAAATCAATAAAAAATATTTTAAGAAATTAATATAATGAGTATTCTATCACTTCCCATTTATATTTAATCCTTCATGAGACCCTGGACCTAACTATTATAATTAATGATAAGAACAGATTTGGTGACAAAATTACTAAAATATGACTCTTGCTAGAAGTTTGGTAGAAACATATGTGTCTAGGAGCCTTGCTCCTGCTAGGGTTATGACACAAGGACAGCTGTCTCAAATTCTGTCCATGGCCCCCCCTCCTCTGGCGAAGCTAAGAATAGACCTAACTGCATACAGGTTGTTTATACGTAAAAATTTATAGCAGGCAAATGTCTTTCAAAATATAAATGATTCATTACAAATCTTTCCATAGGAGAATCATCTATCCAGTTTATTATGAGCACATTTTTGCAATTAATCATTCTTAGAGGGTTCACAGGAAGCCATGTGACTCAAAAGGAGACATCAAGGGGCCACACAGAGATTGATGGCAGCAACGCACCTGGCGAGCACCTGGGTTATGCTTACACGCGCAGGCCGCCTCAGCCCTGGGCTGTGCGTGTAACGATCATTCGTTAGAACAGACTGAGAAAGAAGTCTTTCTTGAGAGAAAAAACTATTTGGCCTCATCTGGTCACGCCAGCAGCTAACAGCTGTGTCCTCTGCTCTCTCCCGCCGGTGGGCATGTCTAGAGCAGGCCTTCCCGAGTCTGTCACAGCACCTGCCCCACAGCCTCTCAGGAGGGAGGATCTCTGCTCAGGGCAGAGCCCAGCACGGAACTCTGCAGGCATCCTGCGTTGCAGCCGTGGAGCGGTGAGGCTGCACAGAGGCTGCTGAGTCCCGCGTGGAACTGTATTGGATGGCCATGCCTAGCTTTCCTCGAGTGGGAATGTCAGAAGGACGGCCGTGACAGTCACTGCTACAGAGCTGCTGTTTTGGGCGTCTCTGGAAGCTGCTTTAAGGGTGCCCACCTAGAGCTTTCCTGGAAAAAGCTACTTTACAGTCAAGTGACTGAGAAGCTGATAGGTTTATTCCTCTATAAAAATAGCACACACTCTCAATCCTGATTACATTCTCTTGTTTATATTTTTACTGTTACTTCAACAAATGTTTTTCTGTTGAAGATCCTGCAACGTTTGCAGAGAGTGCAAATGAGAAAATGATAATGACAACAAATGATTCCCAATAACTTCAAAGAAGTGGGGAAGGGGTCACGTGGAAAATGCCAGCAGGCTCTTTCCCAACCCAACACCCTTGAATGCGGCCTGAGCCACAATGCCGCCGACCTCTGTTCAGCTGCCCATTTAGCCACCTCAGTCTGAGGAGCCTGCAATCCATCTCTCCCTAGTGGGACCCGGAGATTTCCATCACTAGCAGGCCACCTGAGGTTAGGAGTCACACTGCACCTTTAAGATCAGCTTACATTGAGGGATGACTACTCTATAGCCCAGGGAAAGCATGAAGTGTGCCTTGCTCAGCGCACAAATAAAAACCACGGCCTCTACCCCGACTCACCTTCCCTCGGGCACTTGCAGAATGAGCATGAAGACTGGAGTCCAGCAGTGCTGGCCTTACACTGCAAGAGAAAGAAGTTAGTTTGACTACAAATATTTTTAAAAACCTAATTGCATACCCAACGTATGGGAATCACTTTTGGGGCCTGGGACACATTAACTGCATTTACATGATTTCTAATGGAAAAAAAGGATTCAGTTTTCAAACAAATGGCTCTGGAACAGCCTCCTGGAATAAATTAGGTCGTTTCCAGCGGCAGGCCCGGAGCCGCTCTGGCCACAGGCAGAAGCTGGGAAACCTGGACTGTGGATGACGGTGACCAGCGACCTCCAGTTCATCGGAAATGAGCCAAAGAAGAGCTCTGCCCTCAGCGAGGCCGCCACCAGCTGGGTCCTAGAGCCCTCCATGGAGGAGCGTGACGCCAGGTCCTTACTTCTGGGGAGAGGAACTCTCGCCACTTACCCGTTTGCAGCACCAAAAATCCGGGCTGGGCACATACTCGAGGGTGACCTCTTTGTCATGGATCATGAGAGTTCCCTATGGAGACAAAGACAGAAGCCATCGACATCAGCCCTCAGAGAAACGGAGACACAGGAAGGCACAGACAGCCTGTCCAGTCCCCAAGCTGAAACATTTTACAAGGAGTGAGCTTATTCATCCACAGATGTCAATGGCTGTTTTAAGCCAAGACGTGGGCAGGTGGCAGAGCAAGCACAAGCTTCGGGCAGGGGAGTGCGAGGAGGCGGCATCCGTCTTCGGCCGTGGCTCCTGCGGGTCGGGGCGCTGTCCCCGGGCAGGCGAGGCCCCGGCTGCTCCTCCAGAGCTCAGGCGTGCACTCCACTTGCCTGCGCGCCCACAGTCCCCGCCGGTAGCTAGCTCACTACCCACAGCGCACTCTCCCTTCTGCAGCCGGAGGCACGGGCCCTCCACTGTCTTCTTCCCCAGGCTCACTCAAAGCTCCTTGGAGAGGGCGGGAGGGAGGGCTCTGAACTCCGGTGCCTGGGAACTTTCTTTGGAAACTGGCTGCATGGCAAAAGCACCAGGAGAAAGAGGCCCAGCACGGCAGACAGGAAGGAAGGAGGGAGGGGACAGCTTCACGGAGCTCCCATCCTCACATCTGGAAACTGAAGGGCTGGTGGCCATGGCCGCAGCATCACCCTGGCTTGGAGCCTACAGAGTGAATCGCCATGAGCGCTGAGAACCAACCACTGGCAAGTCAGCACTGGGGCAAAGTCTGGCACAGGACAGGGGGACGGGCTCAACAAGCCACTAGAGCTCCGTTGCCTCTGTGTAGTGGACAAGTCATGAAATCTATTTCACACCAAGATCAAAGGAGTTTTGTTTAACAAACACTAACCAGCAGATACATGCGAAAGCAGAGGAGAAATCTCTGCCTAGACAGGACCCTCCCCGACACTTGAACGTGAACTAACTGAGGCTGCAACTGGAACTAGCCCCTGCGCTGCTCATTCTCTGCCCTTTAGGGTCCTCTGTGTCTCCTGAGACAGGGCTCTGAGTTATACAAGGCTGTTCTTTGCAATTGGACCTCAGTTTCTTGCTTGGATCCATACATCTGTCATATAATGCTTTACCTCTCTGCTTTTCACACCAAAAGAGTCAAGAAAATACATAGAATAAAATTACTGTCTTGTCAAAACCAAAGGAGAACTGCCTGCCTACCCAGGCCTGAGAATCTGGTCTCTGAGAAATTGTTCCCTGGCTTAGTCTCAAGCCGGGGGACGACGATAATAAATACTTGCTAACATTTATTAGGTGCTTATTCAGAGCCAGAAACTGTTAAATACGCTATTGTATTTAATTCCCTAAATGATCCCATGAGGCAACATCATCTCCATCTTCCAGACAAGGAAACATGTCAGAGGCAAGGCCAGCTGGGGAAAGGCAGAGCCAGGTCCACATCTGGGGTCACAGGAAGGGACCTCCTGCCCTAGTCACCAACTCCTGCTCAGATTAGGGGAGGAGCCAACCCAGGAGAAAAGTGCTGCAGGCAGGGAGGGTCAGGGGGTGGCACTGTACCCTCCCACCTAGACGCGGTGTATCGTCATTTAAACCATGGGCTCTGGGCCGGTCAGTGTGGCGCAGTGGTTGAGGCTGTCGCACACACCAGGAGGCTGTCGGTTTGGTTCAATTCCCAGTCAGGGCACATGCCCGGGTTGTGGCTCAATCCCCATAGGGGGTGTGCAGTAGGCAGCTGATTGATGTTTCTCTCTCTCTCCCTCTCCTTTCCTCTCTTTGAAATAAAAAACAAAACAAAACAAAAAACCCAACAACGTGGACTCTGGGTCATGTTCCCTAAATTTAAATCCTGCCTCCACTCCATGACCTTCAGCAAGACCCTTAGCTTCTTTGCACTAAGTTTCCTCTTCTGTAAGTCAGGATGACAGTGCCTACTTCATAAGGTGGTTATGACAATTAAGAAAATTAACGTATGGCCCTGACCAGTTTGGCTCAGTGGATAGAGCAGTGATGGTGAACCTATGACATGCGTGTCAGAGATGACATGCGAACTCATTATTTTGGTTGATTTTTCGTTGTTAAATGGCATTTAAATATATAAATAAATACCAAAAATATAAATCTTTGTTTTACTATGGTTGCAAATATCAAAAAATTTCTATATGTGACACGGCACCAGAGTTAAGTTAGGGTTTTTCAAAATGCTGACACTCCGAGCTCAAAAGGTTCGCCATCACTGGGATAGAGCGTTGGCCTGCGGACTCAAGGGTCCCAGGTTCGATTCCGGTCAAGGGCATGTACCTTGGCTGCAGGCACATCCATACATCTGGTGCCCTGTGAACAGAGTAGGAGGTGTGCAGGTGTGCAGGAGGCGGCTGATGGATGTTTCTCTCTCATAGATGTTTTTCTCTATCCCTCTCCCTTCCTCTCTGTAAAAAATTCAATAAAATATATTTTAAAAAAATTAGGTGACCATAAAATCTGTTAGGCAAACAAGAAAGAAAAGAAAAGAAAAGAAAAGAAAAGAAAAGAAAAGAAAGAAGGAAGGAAGGAAGGAAGGAAGGAAGGAAGGAAGGAAGGAAGGAAGAAAGGAAGAAAGTTACCATGAGCTTAGCATGGAAGACAGTGGCGGCTCAGCAATGCACTTTGACCCCTCTGTGCCAGACAAGGACGGGCACGCAGGGGAGCAAGCAGGGTCAAGCAGCCCCTCACTCCATCGCCCTGCCTCGCTTGTCAGCTAGTAATGGCTCACGGCTTCTCTCACCCTGGGAAAGACCACACTTCCCCTGGGAGGGACGCTGCACGTCAGAACCTGCATTTTTATGACAACTCCGTGTTAGCTGCCAATTGCTGGGCCAAATCTTAGCATCCAGGCTCAATCTCCTGGCTTTTATTATCAGTACCTGGTACAGAAGAGGGACTAAATGCTTGAGAACAAAAGACTGAATGGCCCCAGTATCCCCGGAACACTGGCATGCGCAGTGCACAGGAGCTCTGGAGAGAGTGCCGCTGTCGCAGACTACACCGCCCCCCAGCCCATGCGACATGGGGCTGCCATTGGAACGAGGCGCCTGGTGAGTGACAGTCAATTGCAAATTCTGATTTCACCACTTGGCACCCGTGGAAGCAGGAATTTCTAAGGCAAGGAGCACTTATGCTTCTCAGGGAACAAACATGCTGCCCAGGAGCTGTGGACGAGCTTCGGTTGGAGGGAGGGACCCCCCGCCAGAGCACTCACTGACATTACCTTCACCTTATATATTATATTATAAAGGCAATGATTCTTACTAGTATTCCTCAGAGTCCCTACAACCACTGCTAAAGATAGGAAATGGCTTCAACACCACTGTTGTTTGAATAAGAATAGACACACCACTTGTAGGAGAACAATCGGGTTCATCTCCCTCTCACTCCCCTGATGCTACTGTACACAGGCAGCCAGACACCAAGCATGGGCCTGAGATGCACTACCCCGCCCTCGCCCTGCGATGCCCTTTCTTCAGGCTTCACAGAGCAAAGATCCACCGGTACCTCCCAGGGAAGCAACCTGGGGGGGTTGGGGGGTGGTGGTGGTTAATAAATGGGTAGGATGATTTCATCACTTTTGGTTGCCCACTTTTGTCTATTATCTATCATCTTCACACAATGAATTTTTATTCATCATTTGAATTATTGGGTCACTTATTAAGCTACTGAAGTAAAGGCCCAGAAAGACCACGAGTCTGATGAACCAGGTGTGGCTCCTAAAGAGGCACCATGTATTTCAAAGTAAAGCCAAAGGTACCTCCTTTCTCAGGAGTGTACTAGGAAGATTAGGTTTAAACAGATTAGAGTAGGTCCTCGGGTGACGTCGGAGATCCGTTCCTACGGCAACGTAATGCGGATTTTCGCCGTAAGTTGGAATCCACCTACATAAGCACCTACGTCACTCACATGGAGCACACACACAGCAGTAATGAAGGGAAACAGTACAAAAAATTTAAAAGAAAGGTAACAATTCCTGACCTTTACTTGTGGTAAATAATAAAAAAAATAAAGCACATATGTACATACGTCGAAATGACAGAACTTTTTTTTTTTTAATAAATTGGAGATGGCAACGTAACCACGAAATGACGTACATCAAGTCTGACATAACCTGAGGACTGCCTGTATAACCTGCTGAAATCTGACCAAGCCCAAAGCTCTCATCCAACAAAGTCCCACACAGGTAGGTGTTCCTAAGTATGTCTTAAGTCAGTGATGGCGAACCTATGACACGCGTGTCAGAGGTGATACGCGAGCTCATTTTTTTGGTTGATTTTTCTTTGTTAAATGGCATTTAAATATATAAAATAAATATCAAAAATATAAGTCTTTGTTTTACTATGGTTGCAAATATCAAAAAATTTCTATATGTGACACGGCACAAGAGTTAAGTTATGGTTTTTCAAAATGCTGACACGCCGAGCTCAAAAGGTTCGCCATCACTGTCTTAAGTGGTCTTCATGTGAAGCTTCAAAAAGCTAGAGATAGTCTGGCCAGTGTGGTTCAGTGGCTGGGCGTCGACCTATGTACCAGGAGATCACAGTTTGATTCCCACAAATTGGTGTTTCTCCCTCTCCCTTCTTCTCTCTGAATTCAATGAAAATATTAAGAAAGAAAAAAAAGGCTAGAGACAACGCCCTCCTGAAGACCAGTGTAAGTCCTTACTCTCCGCCTCAGGGACGCTGTAGGGGAGCAATCTGGGTGTGAGGCTGTTGAATTCAACATCCACATTTCCATTTCCCTTTAAAAAAATTTTTTTTAAATTGACTTCAGAGAGGGAGGGAGAGGGAGAAAGAGATAGAAACATCAACGATGAGAGAGAATTATGGATCGGCTGCCTCCTGCATGCTCCCTACTGGGGATTGAGCCCACAAACCAGGCATGTGTCCTTGACCAGAATCGAACCCAGGACCCTTCAGTCTGCAGGCCGACGCTCGATCCACTGAGCCAAATCAGCTAGGGCCATTTCCTTTTTTGCTGCTGCTCTTAGAGACTTTCTAACTCCATTTTGTGACTGTCAACCTTGAGAAGGA